TTTACGCAAACCGGATCTAGCGTACAATTAGATTTATCGCATTTGTTATTTACCTATTCAACTTTTAGTTAAAGCCAAACTGTTATTGATCCACACAAATCTAAATTCTACTTATAGCCATTCTGTAGATTATTTATTAGATATGTGTTATTTCGCCACACATTTATTATAAAAATGATCAGATGGCATAATCCTAGCTACAGAAAATTGGAGATAATGATTGGGATGTAATAAAAACAGTTTTCTCCGTACCAGATAATCTAGATGTCTTATTAACTGAACAACAACCTTAAATAACACAGTATCTAAGTCAGATGCTAATATGCGTACACAGAGGAAATTTGTATATGAAGTTAAGATGATTAGTATGTAGGTATGTAGAAGCAATAACATAACAGTAGATTTTTCAAAATGACTTAAGATATGTGCAAATAATGTACATTTCCTAATAGTTATATTCTAAACGACAGCAATAATAAATTGTATTCAACAGGTAAAAAAGATAATAACAGTGATCTCAGTCACACCTCAAATTTACCGATCATGAGGTAGCTATAAATAAGAGAGAGCAAGTGCGTAAGGTGTAGGGAAGAGTCTATCCAACTATTTTCTTTGTCCATCAAAAGAGTAATCACCCCTACAGATAGTCGTGAATGATTTTCCGATTTCAATTTTAGGGCAATCTATAATGAAGATCAAAATGTGTTTTGTGGAGATTGTAGTAACTTCAACAGTTGAGATCATGAATCAATTGAAGCTAGACCACCATGGAAAACCTGGGAGCACTGGACGGCCGTTTCGTCCTACCATGGCGCACCTCAGCAGTGCGCATCCACGACCACGCCTCGTAGGATGACTATTATCATGATATTGGAAGCTCTTCTTATGAAAACTAGGTTTCTAAGAGCAGAGAAAATAAAATACTTAATAACTTACATTTAATGCCCGGTAACAACCCAATTTTATTAAAACTCGCCTAACTAGTCATCCATTTGACAGTCATTTTGATTTTCCGAAAACGTACTCTGACTTGTTTCTCCTATTCTCATTTAAAATGATTAGGTTATTCACTTTACGATAATTTTACTGAACATACATAATTCGATAATTTAATCCCGCAAATAAGTGGAAATTTTTTCTAACACAAAGACAGTCTGGATGAACGAAGTTGAAAGCTAATAAAGTGAGGCTTATATTACGTACTATAGCCTGGCCCAACAACGAAGAAAACCGATTAGCACAACTAAGCTCAGGGAAAAGAGCCTATGTAGAAAAATCTAAAATTCTAAAGAAAAGAGGTAATGGATGTGATGGGATGTTTGAATTTAACCATACTAATAAAGCGGACGGACACATTAGGAGCTTGTTTTATACACACAAGCAGATGTATTCGTTGAAGCAGATAGATTCATTTCGGCCTAACTTGGGTGTATGAGACAGATTCAGTAGAGTCTACTCCTAGTATAGTTTCACTTCCCTACCATATTCGTAAAATATATGTAAACCGAAAGCTTTGGTGCGTTATTAATGGAAGCGTTAATGGAGGACGTGGAACTCCTTCCCAAGTATGCTATAAATTTATTTGACAAAGTGCACATAGCAGCAATATATACAGTCTAGTGATACACACATAAGCATAGATAAGGGCGGTCACTAATGTACATTAGATGTAATCAGAGAGTGAAGACAGGTCTATACATCGCATAAGTTCGCATATTCATAGAAGTTTCCATCCACAAGAACACGTTACATGCATATATAGAGTGCACACGCCAAGACCCATATATTCTATAGTATGCACATAGGTATAGATGTGATTACCTCAAGCCGTAGCACAGCATGTTCTTACACTAAAGGAATAAAAAGTGTTCAAATCACTTTGCAAGTAGTTCATCATGGACTATATGCTCCTTCACGCTTATACCACAAACAAGTTTGTTGTCGACTTCAACTCACTGGTTATGGCAAGATTTATGGTTCTTACTCTGGCCCATCGCAACCAGACCTAATAGTTCTATCTAGAAATAAACGGACAGAGATCAAAATCAAATTCCTCTCTTCCTCACAACATCACATATTTATCTCGACAATACGCCCTTTCCGTTAATTCATATTGCGACAGAGTGGGGGCTTGGTACGACTTCCATCTTGCCACTTGAGTTAGCTTATGGAATGTTCCTCACTACACGCACAGCACTACGGGGAAGCGAGAAACGGTCTTCGCCTAAAGTGAGGATTAGGAAAGCATTATCTTCGTAATCACCTTCAAGTCTAAAACACGTTGATGAATAAATTAAACAGTAGTTTGTAAAAATACACTTCATATGATAAACCTATACGGTCTAGTTTGAATAATACGGTTATCAAATAAACACAGGACATTACATGATTCTAAATCTTATAATATTACATAAATCTGGATGCTGTGTTTTGATGACAGCATATGTCCCCAGTTAAAAAGTGTATTTTCTGAAATAGTTCCCGTTATCATTCGGTGAAGTGCGAGAAAAATGACTTGATTAGAATAAAAATAATTCGTTTTATTTTATTAAGTTTACATTGGGTGCTTACAATCATTAGTAATTTAAAATCGAACATTACAAATGCATTTAAGCATACTCATTGGAATGAAGTTAATCCAAGCATTTTTCAACATATAATAGCAAACATTTTAAAAGTGTTAAAAATATATTTAATAGGTTCTAGGACCATAATTTAAGTTAGATATTGATTTACAAAAGGTACTTCTGTTAGTGTTTTTACTTTTTAGAAACCAAATTATCATTCACAGTTATGTAATTGAAATTATTTCTAACTACTACAGGGTATACAAACGACAAATCTCATTTAATAAATGTTGACAAGTTTTTGCCTTATTTCAAGTATTTCAACGTAATTACGTACTTAGAACGCATAACGTTTAAGTCACTGGTGAAACAGTATCCTTTCTTGTGAGTACGATGAAAATAATTCGAAAAAATGAAATATTGGGGTGAACTGTCATTACAGTTTCATTAAAAACTATGAAATACAACCACATATCGCGAAGATTAGACTCTTATGAAATTAATCTGTATTACCCTGAAAAACTTCTGATAAGGAACATGATGGATTGAATGCATTTTTCATAATTCCCCAAACTTTAAGATAATAATATTTCTGTTCTTATTTATTCAAATATAATCAGGATTTTAACAATTCTGCTGATGAGAACAAAGACCGTTTTAATTTCAGGTGATTAATTTCAGCATAGAGGTTAAGAAAAAAGCTCATTAATGCGTTTATACGTTGTGTTGTAAATGACTGGATATTTTTGTTTGAGACAAAATACAATAACAAGCCAGATATGGTCAAATTTTGTACAGAAATAAGTTAGTGGATGTAAAATGATTGAATTTAATTCATGATGTAAAATGGTAGTAGTGACTTTTTAAAATACCAGAGTAATGTCGGTGAATATTATACGAAGTTTTTCATTCCTGTTATATATATATATATATATATATATATATATATATATATATATATATATATATATATATATATATAGTTATTATTGTAACCCAGTTATTTACACTCATCTATGTCAATTGTTCTCACTCTATCTCAATGTAAAAATTCTATCACATTTTTGGTTTGTAAGCAGCTGACGAGATACCTCGAAATAATATGAATTCATACTATTCTGCATCAATGTTTGTTCTTGCTTTATTTAAATTCATAAAGGGAACCAATTGCATGATAATTTATTTATTGTAGTTTCAAACCTGTAACATTTTTTTGCGAGAAAATATAACCCTTTTTTATCATCGTTTTCCATAAGTAAACTCAAACAAAACCAAGGTACCTACCTAAACATATTCTGTTTTAATAAAACAAACAATATGACAGTAAGTATATTTGCCTTATTTTATCTTATTATAATAAAACAGATTATTGTTACTGCTGAAATCTCGTTCATTGTAAATATCCTAAAAGTACAATGACTCAAATTACGAAAGGTGAATAAATTATACTTAGAAATTGAGCTTGTTTTTATTGTTGTTGTGGTATTTTGACATTAAATAAAGTTTTATCATTATTATTATTAATTGATATTAATCTAAGATAAATAGTCTGTATGTTACCTTATTACAGGAACATTCAATATAAAATTGAAAAACAGACTCTAACACTAAAACTTATTCAAGTCACATGAAATGTATTTCATCACTTAAATAATTCATCAAATAGATATAAACGGTTGTATGTATACTCTTCTAGAAATTGATTGTTTTGTTCATACGAAAATGGTAATATACTTTCCAATTTTTTTTGTTATTTTATTGAAAGTAGATCGATTTATCCAAGGTCTTTTGCCATTTACTAAAAAAAATTTTTTTTATAGCTAATCTCGAAAACTGATGTGAAATATATTTTAATGAATTTTGTAGTAATAAGTTGGTTATGAAGCACTTGAAATGTCTTTTTATAAAATCATCACTACGTATAAGAATTTGTTTATTGTCTTATAAAATGTCCTTTCATCTTGATGTTTAGAGGTAACACAACACGTTTTACTATATATATATGTATATATATATATATATTGATGCCTTGAAAACATGTCAAAGATTGTCATGATGCAATACCAATGGTCATATTAAGAACTTTGTTCTTTATAAGAAATGTGAATGTAAAAGGGTTGATAGTAATATTTTATGAGCATCAATTGTAGATGATGAATGCAACTAGGAATTTTTTTAACTAATGCTCAACAAAAGCTGTTTATTTCCATCAGTTATCACTCAAGTAATAAGAAACCGAAGAACGAAAAAAGTTATTTGAAAGATGTCGGATTCGACTTTTTCTAAAAATCTAAAAGTGGCATAACAAAACATAAGCTCAGAAAGGTTACACTTCCAAATTCTCTATAAGTAATGTACAAGTTGAATGCTTTTATTTAACTTTTCAATCACGCAGTCCTTTCAGTTCTCACTGATATTTTTTGAATACTACGTTTATTTAAAAAAACAGGTAGTAGTAGTAGTAGTAGTAGTAGTAGTAGTAGTAGTAGTAGTAGTAGTAGTAGTAGTAGTAGTAGTAGTAGTAGTAGTAGTAGTAGTAGTAGTAGTAGTAGTAGTAGTAGTAGTAGTAGTAGTAGTAGTAGTAGTAGTAGTAGTAGTAGTAGTAGTAGTAGTAGTAGTAGTAGTAGTAGTAGTAGTAGTAGTAGTAGTAGTAGTAGTAGTAGTAGTAGTAGTAGTAGTAGTAGTAGTAGTAGTAGTAGTAGTAGTAGTAGTAGTAGTAGTAGTAGTAGTAGTAGTAGTAGTAGTAGTAGTAGTAGTAGTAGTAGTAGTAGTAGTAGTAGTAGTAGTAGTAGTAGTAGTAGTAGTAGTAGTAGTAGTAGTAGTAGTAGTAGTAGTAGTAGTAGTAGTAGTAGTAGTAGTAGTAGTAGTAGTAGTAGTAGTAGTAGTAGTAGTAGTAGTAGTAGTAGTAGTAGTAGTAGTAGTAGTAGTAGTAGTAGTAGTAGTAGTAGTAGTAGTAGTAGTAGTAGTAGTAGTAGTAGTAGTAGTAGTAGTAGTAGTAGTAGTAGTAGTAGTAGTAGTAGTAGTAGTAGTAGTAGTAGTAGTAGTAGTAGTAGTAGTAGTAGTAGTAGTAGTAGTAGTAGTAGTAGTAGTAGTAGTAGTAGTAGTAGTAGTAGTAGTAGTAGTAGTAGTAGTAGTAGTAGTAGTAGTAGTAGTAGTAGTAGTAGTAGTAGTAGTAGTAGTAGTAGTAGTAGTAGTAGTAGTAGTAGTAGTAGTAGTAGTAGTAGTAGTAGTAGTAGTAGTAGTAGTAGTAGTAGTAGTAGTAGTAGTAGTAGTAGTAGTAGTAGTAGTAGTAGTAGTAGTAGTAGTAGTAGTAGTAGTAGTAGTAGTAGTAGTAGTAGTAGTAGTAGTAGTAGTAGTAGTAGTAGTAGTAGTAGTAGTAGTAGTAGTAGTAGTAGTAGTAGTAGTAGTAGTAGTAGTAGTAGTAGTAGTAGTAGTAGTAGTAGTAGTAGTAGTAGTAGTAGTAGTAGTAGTAGTAGTAGTAGTAGTAGTAGTAGTAGTAGTAGTAGTAGTAGTAGTAGTAGTAGTAGTAGTAGTAGTAGTAGTAGTAGTAGTAGTAGTAGTAGTAGTAGTAGTAGTAGTAGTAGTAGTAGTAGTAGTAGTAGTAGTAGTAGTAGTAGTAGTAGTAGTAGTAGTAGTAGTAGTAGTAGTAGTAGTAGTAGTAGTAGTAGTAGTAGTAGTAGTAGTAGTAGTAGTAGTAGTAGTAGTAGTAGTAGTAGTAGTAGTAGTAGTAGTAGTAGTAGTAGTAGTAGTAGTAGTAGTAGTAGTAGTAGTAGTAGTAGTAGTAGTAGTAGTAGTAGTAGTAGTAGTAGTAGTAGTAGTAGTAGTAGTAGTAGTAGTAGTAGTAGTAGTAGTAGTAGTAGTAGTAGTAGTAGTAGTAGTAGTAGTAGTAGTAGTAGTAGTAGTAGTAGTAGTAGTAGTAGTAGTAGTAGTAGTAGTAGTAGTAGTAGTAGTAGTAGTAGTAGTAGTAGTAGTAGTAGTAGTAGTAGTAGTAGTAGTAGTAGTAGTAGTAGTAGTAGTAGTAGTAGTAGTAGTAGTAGTAGTAGTAGTAGTAGTAGTAGTAGTAGTAGTAGTAGTAGTAGTAGTAGTAGTAGTAGTAGTAGTAGTAGTAGTAGTAGTAGTAGTAGTAGTAGTAGTAGTAGTAGTAGTAGTAGTAGTAGTAGTAGTAGTAGTAGTAGTAGTAGTAGTAGTAGTAGTAGTAGTAGTAGTAGTAGTAGTAGTAGTAGTAGTAGTAGTAGTAGTAGTAGTAGTAGTAGTAGTAGTAGTAGTAGTAGTAGTAGTAGTAGTAGTAGTAGTAGTAGTAGTAGTAGTAGTAGTAGTAGTAGTAGTAGTAGTAGTAGTAGTAGTAGTAGTAGTAGTAGTAGTAGTAGTAGTAGTAGTAGTAGTAGTAGTAGTAGTAGTAGTAGTAGTAGTAGTAGTAGTAGTAGTAGTAGTAGTAGTAGTAGTAGTAGTAGTAGTAGTAGTAGTAGTAGTAGTAGTAGTAGTAGTAGTAGTAGTAGTAGTAGTAGTAGTAGTAGTAGTAGTAGTAGTAGTAGTAGTAGTAGTAGTAGTAGTAGTAGTAGTAGTAGTAGTAGTAGTAGTAGTAGTAGTAGTAGTAGTAGTAGTAGTAGTAGTAGTAGTAGTAGTAGTAGTAGTAGTAGTAGTAGTAGTAGTAGTAGTAGTAGTAGTAGTAGTAGTAGTAGTAGTAGTAGTAGTAGTAGTAGTAGTAGTAGTAGTAGTAGTAGTAGTAGTAGTAGTAGTAGTAGTAGTAGTAGTAGTAGTAGTAGTAGTAGTAGTAGTAGTAGTAGTAGTAGTAGTAGTAGTAGTAGTAGTAGTAGTAGTAGTAGTAGTAGTAGTAGTAGTAGTAGTAGTAGTAGTAGTAGTAGTAGTAGTAGTAGTAGTAGTAGTAGTAGTAGTAGTAGTAGTAGTAGTAGTAGTAGTAGTAGTAGTAGTAGTAGTAGTAGTAGTAGTAGTAGTAGTAGTAGTAGTAGTAGTAGTAGTAGTAGTAGTAGTAGTAGTAGTAGTAGTAGTAGTAGTAGTAGTAGTAGTAGTAGTAGTAGTAGTAGTAGTAGTAGTAGTAGTAGTAGTAGTAGTAGTAGTAGTAGTAGTAGTAGTAGTAGTAGTAGTAGTAGTAGTAGTAGTAGTAGTAGTAGTAGTAGTAGTAGTAGTAGTAGTAGTAGTAGTAGTAGTAGTAGTAGTAGTAGTAGTAGTAGTAGTAGTAGTAGTAGTAGTAGTAGTAGTAGTAGTAGTAGTAGTAGTAGTAGTAGTAGTAGTAGTAGTAGTAGTAGTAGTAGTAGTAGTAGTAGTAGTAGTAGTAGTAGTAGTAGTAGTAGTAGTAGTAGTAGTAGTAGTATTTCGAGTCCTAATAATTCTCAAAAGTTTAGTGCGTTTTAAAGTGAACGTATTTATTCTTCTTATTTGTGGATTGTGTACAGAAATCAGGTATCTAATTTTTGTTAAAGTTCTAGTCGTTCTCTCCACCTGTATCTTTTAGCTATGATGGAAAATACACATCTCAAAATGATTTGTATAAATTATTACATAAATGTAAATTTAGTGGCTCAACCTTAAAGACATTTCTCTCTAAATCTGTTGTCAGGTACCCGGTATTATCTAATAAAAAAATTGTACCCCGTTGTATCTTCATCTGTGAATGCTATACTAGAAGCTTAATTTACGCGCTTTGGTCCTTACTTATACCTTGTTTTGGAATTTTAATTGGAGATTGTCAGTGAGATACTACAAAGATGCTTTCAAATATGATTGATTTCATCAGTTCTAGTGCAAAAAGCATAGATTACATATTGGGAATAAAAATGAAGAATAGTAGAGTAAGAGCTTTGAATTTGTTATGAAGAAGTCTCGTAAAATGCTGATTTATGCGGTTTCCTGTAGTTATTTGAGAGCTTGGCATTTGTATAAATCTTATATTAAAACTTTTTAGTTCATATAGAAGAACCATGACAGTATGTCAGGTTCGGCACTTACTGCCTATGATGAACTAATTTTAAGTGTCAGCTGTAAGACTAACTTCAAGTGTCCAACTTATTCTAAGCTATACATGTAAAGATTTGTGTGGAAGTACTTTCCTGAGAGGTTTACGATCAAGTTAGACAATTACATATCTTCATCAGCTACATCGTATCCAAAATAAAATTTACTAGGCTTTCTGAAACGTATATAAGGAACAGTATTCTACCAACGTGTTTTTGTGACTGTTTGCTGAGGAAGTAGTCTTAAGTTGTAAATAAAGGCTTACACGTAGTTGTATATTAACACTTTTAGAATCAAGTAATTTCTCATGGTTTTCAAGAGTTTCAATAGTCATGATGGGATTAGTTAGTTATTTTGAGGGAAGAAAAAATTAAAGCTTCCTGGATTTGGAAATCTTTGTAATTCCATGAAGAAATGGAGTACAAGATAGCAATTATTGCTGTCTACGTTTTTGGAATGACGTTTTGTAACTTGTGTATTTAAAATTTCTTTAGAAATCCATAGTACTCTTTAGCTCGATTCAATCACTATTGTTTAATACTCATTAAAGTATCTGAGGGGATAATATAGTAGTTGAAAATATTCAGTTCATGATAAGCTGGCTGCAATTAACCTGTCTATAAACCTGCAGTGTACCCAATTGCTAGAATATTTGTGATATATTCATTGGCACTCAGCAACTGAAAAGGTCTCTAAAGTGCAACAACTATATATTTAGAAACACTTCTGATGTTATCAGATTGATTACAACATCTTAATATTTTGGAAAATTTAAATGTAGTTATAGCACTTGAAGCATAAGGTATTTGTCAATATCCTTTAGTTTATTCATTATATATTGATCACCATATAATCAAACCTATTAAGATATAGCTTCATTGACTAAGATTGGTCTTTGTGTTAACGGGGAGTACCGAAATTCAGAGGGATTACAAATGGTCCTTCCCCAGTTTTATTCCTTTTGGATGCCACCTATTAAGTTCCTTAGAAGTTCATTCCTACGTTATTACTACAGTTTTCAACAAACATTGAACTTACACCATGAAGCGTGTTTAGGAGCTTGGTTTACACACAGTACTACAAGGTGAGAACAACAGTTGGTTAAGGGATAATTATTTCATAGCTGTGCTTATTAGCGTTATGTATATACCTCACACTATCCCATATTATTACAAAATAACTATTTCAAGTGGGTTATAACAATTTTCCATGGAAGTGTTAGCTGTCAAGTAAAAATCATAGTCAAACATATTTCTTCTTGAACTTATCGTTAAATTGTGGTAGGGGTCGTGATAAGATTCTATATATAATTAAAAACAGGAAATTAGTACCTTTTTTTGTATCAACCATTGTATCAATAAACGAAAATCATATATTCTGGTCTTATGCGCATATAACTTCAAAACAACTGCTTGTTAGAAATGATGGGACAATAGCCAAGGGAAAGATTTCTTGTTAACATTTCGGTGATACCAACATCTGTATTGTTTGGAAACTTTTCATATATAAACTTATAAATATCAAGTAATCTATCCTTTGTAAATTGGTATGACATTGTTTATGGAGTAGTGACAACGACCCTCTAGGCTTTAATGAAAAATTCCTCTCCCAGATCTGAGTCACCATCTGTCTTTTGTTTTTGAGTGACACAAGCTACTGTTAGGTAGGCCACAGTTCTGATAATGCTCTATCAATTCTAGTCACCTATTTCCTAAAAAATCATAGCACATATTGTGGTTTGGCTTTGATTTTCTGTAAACATTTTTGGAAACACTCACAACGATGTTCTAGTTTGATAAATTTTACTTTGAAACGCTGAACCGTTGAGACGAACGCCATATGAATGACGCTTATTCATTCAACTGGAAAGTTAGTTGAAATAACTCAATTTACTAAGGTAACAATTACGTCAAGTAGCGCAAATCCTAGATTCAGAGATCTCTGTCGACTATTTTTAAGTATAAAACTGTTTAAATGCCGATATTCGTTGAGTCCTTCATTCTAGGTTATTAGGAATATTTTTATTTTGAGAAGTGACAATAAACTCGACCTTTTATTACTTCAGAAGTAAAAATAAAAACTTTACGGGAACTAGAAAAACGGTAGATAACCACATATATTGTCAAGGGATTTTTCGCGTCTGAGAAATTTACGTTTTGAATACTTAAGTGGAGTGATATGAACAAACTGTAGCACGAAAAAGCGATGGAGTTCACCCATCACTTTTAATTCTTTTCAGAAGAAGGTATATTTTCGTTATTCGTCAGGGGCAAACACTAGCTTATCATATCTTTACTCGTACGTAACAACAGTATTTTTGATACTACTAAGTGTTCTGTTTTGTAGATTGCTGTATACGTCATAAAAATTTGAATGAGACCAAATAACAATCAAAACCCAAAAACCACGTTTATGAATAACGATATACCTAAATGAGCCGCGTAATGAAAGAGTGGTTTATAGTGCTTGATGTCCCTATGGTCGAATACCTGTCGTGTTTTCATAACTGCATTTCTGAGTACACATGTTCCGTAGGCATAAAATGAAGTAAACTGTTTAACAGGATAATTGTTTTTTAATATAATTGTAGATATCTTATTTCCAGGTAAAATAAAGTGATTAAAAATAAATCAACATTTTGTATCTATTCCATATCATGGTCAATCACTAACTTTTGGGCTTTAAAATATCTAAAACAAGCGAGGAAATCAATATTTCCTCACTGATTCTTGCTTTCGCTGGGGAATTTATATTTTTTAGCTTATCACAATGACGGTTAATATTACTGTTGATGTGTGACATGGAAATTTCCACTCTTTTTCTCTTTAAAAAATCACCCGGATATTAATTTTTAGTGTCAAAAAGATGTTAATAAGCTATTCTCCATGTAATAAAAAAATAGAACTTTCTTAAAATATTCCGCAAGTACTTATTTACACAGACGTCTGAATAATTGTTAGAAATTTTATTAATATTAGGTAATTTAATTTCAAAATACCAAATGACACCATGTCTGGTAACACACAATTTATATGATTAAATAATCTTGGAATATTTATCGGCTGGATTATTAAATACATCACATTTCGAGTCAGTTGATGCCTAGTTTATGTTAGTTGTACTATCACTATTATTATTGTTATTACTACTAATATCATTAATATTATAAAACACGAATGTTGATTATTTACAATATTATGTCATGCAAACTTATATGAATATGTAATATTATATGAATTTCCGGTTGATGTTACTTGGTGTGATTTAAATGAATTTCAAATAAACATCACTACTACTGAATACTGAACATTATGCTAAACAGGTTTCTAATACTTGTGGATATATATACGTATAATGAATGGTCTAGACTTCATCGACCGATAATTATTTGAAGTTTACGGGATAGTAGTAATTAACAAGAGTAGTTCAACATATCTAAAGAGAACTAATTTACAACAATCATTCTTTCATATTTTACAGAACGAAACTATGTTATTTATTAGAGACTTAGTCAGCTTCCGTATGTTGATCAATCATACCAACAGTAACTTACAATATAGAAAAAAATAACTCAACTTTTAGTTTTTGTATTTAGACGAACTGAGAATTCTATTCATCGCCATACTATTTCGTACAAAATGTACTTTTCTAGTTTCTGAATAATTTGTAGTTCTTTCATGTGTACGTTTTGAAGTGTTAGTGTTTTCACGTAAATACTGTTTAATTGAAGGACTATTTAGGTAGAGTATTTAATTCTAGACGAAAATGTACTGTTAGAAAAAACCCTACTCTATCAGCTACAGCTGCACAAACATTGAAGTGATTATGTTTACTCATTTATGTGTTTCATAATGGACATTTTATTAATATGCAACGAAATGTTTGTCACGATTCGAAGGTTATTCATCATGTTAAAACTACAAACGTTTTCCTACTTTTCATTTAATCATCTTATTGTCTGTTTAGTCATGGACAATAATTTTTTTCATTTGAAGATTCTTTTGCATAAATTTTAAGAAAAGTAACCACATTTATAACGTTCATCAATAAATTATCCTTTAATCTAAATACTATCTAACGAAAATATTTGTTTGATACTATAACCGTAAACACATCGATTAAGTAATTTAAACGGTGTTAAAAATATGGTGAAATTAACTTGAAATGAGTTCTGTCCAGATTTTCCACCTAACATTTCACTTGGTCAGATCGAAATATTGTACAGCTTATTAAAGTTTATTAATACTACAGTGTAATAACCATCAACTTTCTCTGACCATCTTGAAGTACACGTGGAATACAGGGAAAAGTTGGTTGAAATGAATTTCTGAAGACTATTTCAACACTTATCAGTTGATCTATTTATCTTTGTTCCCCTGCATTGGTCATAGTAACCAGTGATGACTACACGACATTGCAGAATAAATAACATTTTGTTAAAGTTTTCTTATGTGTATTTTTGTAACAGAATTAGTGATACAATTACTAGTAAAAACTATTATCTTATTACTCACATTTTTGTTTAAAAAAACACACACTCAGACTTCCTATTCTCAAGATTGCTAAATAGTTTGCTGTGTTGTACAAATAAGAAGAGATACAAAGTTTAAACTCAACATTTGACTATATGGTTTAAATATTTTTCAGTCAATATATGGATGGTAAAATATTCACAAGTGGCTGATCAGTGCATCTAAATCTTTATCAATAAGTTCAGAGTATAATATGGTATGTTATTTTTGGAAGTAAAAAGTTAGATTAACATGACGTCGTGGGGTTTATTTAAATCTATCTTTAAAAGATTTTCCATATAATACAATGAAAATTTCTGAAGCGAAACTTTCAAAATAGTACGTTTTCAACCAATAAAAAGTTTATCACTTATTTTAATAATAATACTTATATATGTATTATTTGTATTAACTTATAATCGAATATTAATTTATCCATAAATAGATCAGTTTGAACAACCTAATTATATGTGATCTGAATAAAAATGCTGGAAATCAGACAGTGATGTAATTACATTCAAATTGTCAGATTCGTGTTTCAGTGATTGTGAAAAGTAGAATGGTATTTAATAATGAATATGATAAATTTAAACGACCTTGTTGTCAGATAGAAAGTGTAATCATGTTTGTTTTTTCTTTATTATTTGCTATGAACAGCTACAAAGTGAAATCAAAGCTCGTATAAGTAATCCCAACCATATAAATCATTCAACTATTCTTTATTTTAATGTATTTATCAAAATTAAGTAGTGATATAGGTAGAGTTGAGTAAAGCAGAGATTTTAGCGTTGTGTTGGACCATTTATATTCCATATAAATGACCGTTTTTAAAACTTTAAGACTGACTAGATTTGAAGCCTGATATTCATTTTAAAGATCAGTTGTCGTGAAGTTGTTTCAATTTAAACAGTGTGCAAAAGAGAGAAGAAATGTCTATATAACTTTATTGAAGTAATTGTATAATCAAGATTTTTCATCGACAAATAATTTTTAACTTCGTAGTTAACTTTTTTATGCACGTTAATGTGGTCAAGAATTCGTTTGTAACTAATATTGTGGTTTGTGCTTCTTATATTGACATAATTAGTAGATGATATTAGTCGTGAACAGAAGGTCTGGCAGCAGAGAGACAACAGGATCGAACAGTAAAGAATGGAAACAGGATACAATTTGTATGGCAATGAAGTCTGAGTCATTATGAGACAATTGATGGACATTTTGCAAATTAAGTATTTACTATTTGATTGTTAGATTTTATTAACAAGTCCTGTAATTTTGTGTCAAATACATTCGATTGTCCCAATCTGTGTTCTGTTCACTACAATATTATTACGCCTTCTACTACTATTGCTAATTATTCTCAATTTTAAAGTCACAGAGCGGTGGAAATGTATAATATTGTAATAAATTCGTTATTTCTATTATTTGATGTGAAAATATGAGAAAATTTACACACTATACATGCACCAAAGCTAAACCGATTCGCTTCCTAACAAAAAGCATAATCGACACTAATATCAAGTAAATAATTAAACATCTAGATAATGTTAAACAACTGGTCAAAAAACTACCGATCATTATATATATATATATAGTTGAATTCACGAGTCGATTTAAGCTAGACCACCACTTAAAACCTAGAAGCACTGAACGGTCGTTTCGTCCTAGCAATGGATTCCCCAGAACTGCTCATCCACGACTCCGCACGCAAGAATTGAATCCAGTACCTTCGGTCTCGCGAGCGAAAGCTTAACCTTTAGATCGCTGAATTCAACTATTAAAATTACTATAATCTCTGCAAACCCCCATTCTGATTATATATATAGTCAGAGTGCATTCTATTTAATTTGTTTCATGTAAACTTTATAAATATGAAAATGAGTTTCTCAAACAAATATAGATTTTATTGTAAAGATGATATCTTAATAATGTTGTTAAGCTAATTTCGAATATTACGGATTTCAGGAACCCGTGAAAAATATCTTTAAACTCATGTTTATTCTGTATGCATGAATTGGAAAATTCAAGCGAAATCCACTATTGTTTGATCATAAATGTAAATCCAGAAAGCTTGGAATATTTTACGACGATCAAATGAGAAATGTAAGATTGAGTGAAAATTTTTATTAAAAATATATATTGCATAATGTAATTATAAGCTGCCATTGATTACCAAATGTGTTACCTTGCATGAAAGTTGCAAAATCAGATGAGAATTAAACCTATTGCCTAGAAATGAACCGCTGAAAATGAAATGAATTAGTGAAGTTGTTGATAGTTTATCTAGTTTGTGTGATTGGACTGGAGCTTTTAATTCATCATGCAGATACTAATCGCAGAATGTTTTGCATACCGTTTAAAAGTGAAGGCAACTCTAGTTTTTTTTAAAAATGTAGTGGCAAGAATATAGTTGATAATAATTTTGTTGTACAAACATATTATTCATTTTTGAAATGGTATCTTATTAGATAACTGCATTAAACAGGTCATGAATCAGTTTTGGAGTCAACCACAACATTTAAAATTAATAAATGTCAGGTGACGTTTTTTACTGGGCTTTATTTAAACAGAACATATCAACTGGTCCGTCAGTAGGATTGAATGGGAACTTAATATGTATTCCCCACATGAACCCCAAATATGTGTCTGACAAAAATCATCAACATTAATTATTGCAACTAAACAAACAGAATTATCTCACCTTTAAAAAAATTAGGAACAAAGGATGATGTTTGCAACTTTTTTATGTAAATCAATTCGAATCGTCAATTTGTATTTGATTTAATTTGATGAATAGACTAGAAGTGTTAAAAAAACTTTCCGGAACCGAGATGCTTACAGAATATTAACTACAAAATTCAGTGTTTGTCTAAGTTAATATTAAAAGTAAACAATCCAGGAGACTTGTGGTTGCTAATTCAAATCATGTGGAAAGTCTAAAGTAGCTGAGCTGGAGTCTTTAAGTTTCTAATTGGAATCAACAGAAATAAGCATGCGTAATATTATGGTTCAAAAGTGACTGAAATGAGTTCGCATTTTATTATTTATTTCATACATTTGTAATTCATAATGATCATTTGCATTTCAGTCTCATATTACTCGCTACATTGTTTTTGATACCGCAGATAATTAGCCATATTCTTCAGGCTAGTTTGAAATTTACTGACAAGTGATACAAGAAAAAAGGATATTAAAGAGCTAAACTTATCACTTAAAGAATGAATGAATCCATCAAAGAAGCTTGTCCATTTTTATTATTTTTGCACATGATGTTCATTATGGGTTGATCTCATTTGTGAAAACTGGATAGATATTCCCTCTTAGTATTGTCGTATTCAGCAGTGGGTAGTTGTACCAAAGATCGAAGAGAGCACCTTAAGACTTCTCAGAAGATCCTGAAGAGTGAGAGTCATGGATGTTCACTGGTGAGGAGTCACAAAACAGAAAGGAGAAACTATCCAGTTCTCCCTGGCTTACAATGGCATTCCAACTGAGATCAACCCATAAAGAATATGACTTGCAGACTAATTTCCAAAGAATCCCTTCATGCTTTCTACTTGTATAGTGGTGTATGCTACTTATCGATGTACATAAGTAGTATGTAATATCAATCAGAAGTGGAATGCCTGTCGGCAGAAGGTAGAAAAGATAAAATAGAAAACACGAATGAAAAAGAGTAATCGTAATAACAATAGAAATGATGAAATTTGCAAGTGACAAGTGAAGAAAGATATGCAAATGTAGTATTTAATGTATGATTTTCATATTCTACCAAAGAACTCTGTAATTTTGCATTAAACAATAAGATGTTCCTCCCAACTAGGAGTCTTCGTTTACGACAATATGAGTTTCCAAAGTTGATACTCAACTAAAGGGAATTCAAGCAATTGAGAAATGTCGAGTTTTCTCAGCTTACAATGATATCTTCAGATAAAATATAAATAATAAACAACAACTTTAGGAGGGGGATAACATTGGACAACAAATGTTTGCAAATAATGAAATTAGATAAAAGGAATACGAAAAATTGTTTCTTTCATACAAGTCTATAATAGAAAGAAAGTAAATAAAAATACTTCGAAAAAATCAGAGAAATAATATTATTTGAGCAAAAGAATACCAGAAGTCAGCAAATTTAATGTCAGTTTATGCCATCATCACTATTGTCTAAAATTATTAGTCATGTGAATACCAAACAGAAATAAATAAACAAACAGAACAGAGACCATCATAAAAACCAGAATGCAAGAAAAAATAATGATATAACTGGATATTCTGAAAATAATCACATATAAAAAAGTTATGAAGTTATACAAGAAACATATGATGAATATAGTAACGTTCGTGTCAAGTATAACAGCTTTTAATTCTCATCCTATTTATGATTTTCTGTAGCCATAACTTCGTCACATAATCTGTTTATAATTTCAGAATACAGCTTTCTGGCTCTATATCGGGAAATCTTGAATGTTGGAGTGAGCAACCCATTTTCTATTGTGAAAGTTTCATCAGTCAGATGGATCTTCTTCAACTGAAATCATGTTTTTTTTTTCGATACAAAATGAATATAGGCTTGTAAGATTTGGTAGTAAACTAAGTTAAAACAATGATCACCTAAAGTTGTAATATGATTATGTATTTAGTATAAAACACTCTTCAATTTAAGGCCAAAGATATATGTAACTAATAGATATATCTGATTGTTTTTAATGTGTAACTAAGATTCTAACACGATAAGGAAAGTGGAACGACTAAACAACACTAAATTGCTTGAACAGCTCACTTATTATCCATTCGTATAAATTACTATGTGTTTTGTTTGAATGACTGATGTATTTTATAACTACTATGACGTAGACCAAAAGACTATGCGCAATGCTATGTTGATTTTCACTAGCTTCTTCATTGACTTTTCAACTAAGTTGTTTAACTGTCCCGTCTTTCGCCCATTTCTAGCCTAAAGATGAGTAAATGTATGTGCCCTTAACATCGTCTTTTTTTCTAAGGGCATATATTAGCGCTCTTGTTAAACTAAATAAATTCTGTAATTTTCGACACTTTTCTTGACAGCGACTCTATCATCACTTTCAACATACAAAAAAAGATGGGAAAATAAAAAAAATCTAAGAAGTTTGCGCGTTCATGTCATATAAATTTCATCTGGTTTTACTGATTACAATGATGCTAGATCTAAGATAACGAACGTTTTCTACTGTATTCAATTTCAGATTTGAGAAATGGCCCGTATTCTACTATTATTAATGCTGATCAGAATGAAACTTTATATAATCTAACAGAAACAACTTACTTTTTCAAATCCTTTCAGAAATCTTTCATTGGCGATTTGATCCAAAACATTTAGATATTTTCGAAGGACAGATTCATGTTGACATAAATCATGATCGGATAAATTAACCAATTCATGATCTGTTTTGCTAAGTGATTCACGTAATTCGTTGAAGTTTGGAACTATTATAGCTACAGGATAAATGGATTTAGGATTGGCATCAATAAAAATTTGATTAATTAGACTACAACTTTGATAAAGTGCCTCCAGTTTTTCTGGTGCTACATATTCACCTTGAGCCAACTTGAAAATACTTTTAACACGATCAACCAACATCAATGAACCTTCCTAGAGTGAATAAAATATGAAACATTACATGAAATTCATAATATCATTAGCAACATATTTTGATTACGATTACAAAAACTGTTAGTGACCACGGTCGAATGTGTCATGAAGCAAACTACATATTTATGTGGTCTAAGTTATCATTTGACGACACTTTAAACATATGGAAGAACATTTATGAACCAATGAAATGATTTATAGTAAAAAAGTTAATTATAAAATTTTGACAATGAAAGTTGTAAGACGATTTCATTTATTCATAAGATATGAAAATCTTTAAATGAGAAATAAGGTTACGTACATTATGACATAAAATTAACTATACTTCATTATCACATGAATAATCAGAGACTCCAGGTGTAGTTCACTATAAGAGATCAATGTAATGAACACTACCAGCCTAAGATTTTTACCACTGCTTTATTGTAAGATAATAACGTCAAAACAAAGATAAAAAATTATTAAGGAAAACAGATCAGCTTTTTGGACGATGAGGAATTTGAGAAAATATTTCAACTAATTTTCAGGCCATTTACAGGTTTATTTAATATCCAAATAAGTAACGAAAACAGTGAAATACCGGTTTGTCAACTTTCAGGAGATTCGTATCTCTAAAATTAGATAGAATTACAATGATTTAATGTGATAAGTTAGGAAGTAATGGTGAACAATAAAATGTCATTCAATCAGATTCTACAGTAAAAGTTCTATTCCTATTTCATCATATCATTATTATCCATTATTATTCGATCTCAAGTAAACATTTTATTATGTATACAATAAAATTGTCCGAGAGTATTGACTGATTCTAGAACACTCCGTCAGAAGAAATCGCGGTGAGACTATAATTTATGGACGACCTTTGAGCGAAGCTAGTGACCTTAAGAATGTCCACCTACTTAAAAGGGCTAAATGAAGATTATGAAGCAGTATGAAGAATAAGGATTATGATTTACAAATGATCGCTAGGGTTAGGAATTAGATTTATGGTTTTCATCACTGACTGACATCAGCTATAATACTAAAGCGCTATTTAGACAAATGGGTGAATGAATATCGAACCAAAATCCAAGATCATTTATCTTAAGTCTGATTGATTCGTCCGTAAATTATAGTCTCACCGAATTCGCTATAGTTTCGAAATAGAAATTAATTTGATCAATAGTACACCAAAATCACGTAATATCCAAGTACTACTAAAACCATTTTCACAAGTAGTAAAATGTAGAAAATCTTCATTGATGATTGCATTCAGATAAATTTTACATTTAATGTAAATTTGGCTGCTCTAGAATAAGCAACTACTAAACGTAATTCATCACAGTAACCATCACGAAACAACCTCGTGCATATAAACACAACTTCGTGAGACAAACCAGATATATATTGTTATTTATAACTGTTACTTAAACAAACTGATATCTAATAAGATTATATTCATTCATTCCAAAAGTACACTCTGTTAGCCTACAATTTTAAAAAACTTAAATATTTGTCGCTAGAAATTTTTGGCATTACCATATTAACAATTGATTCCAAGAAAAACAGTATCATATTGTGAACTTATTAACACTTTTCGTAAAGCAACGAATAATGGTGTTGAACCACTTAACTGTAATCCAGTTGTTTAAGTGCTTGGTGATTCCCTAATGACCCAGCTTTCTAGAGTAAACTTCTCAAGTGATCATTAGATTTGCACTGCTAAGGAGTTCAATATTAGAATGGACTAGCTGTCCTATGTCTTATTAGTTTTCAATGATTTAATCGATTTGTGAGGATCAAACACAAAAGGTAATCGATTTGTCAGCTTTAGTTGTCGAATAACGAATCAGCCGTTCAATTAAATGTTAATGGCATGTAGACGTTCAGTAGTGGTGAATAAATTAAAATGAAGATGAATACATCTGAATTTTTACTAAATCTGATTTGTCTGAATGTTAGCGATATATAGATAGGTTATTTTCAACCAATCAGCGCTAGTGGATACTTGCAGAAGATTATAATCTTCTTACGTAAAAATTACAAATATGCTAACTGTTGTCTGATTGTAATTCTTATTTCCATCCAACCTTTTTATTTGGAATATAATTACGTTCCTGTTCAACCAAGTTCTGATTCGGAGAATTGTCAAGTGAATTGGTGTCCAAGATTACTAAGCAATAAGAGTAGCTGGGTCACAGTAAGAGAAATCATAACATGAGGTGATCATTTTCATAGATTTGCTAAGAAAAAATGTCATACAGAAGTTAAAATGACTACTAGAATAAAAAAATGATATCCTTACTGGGGTCCATTCTCCTATATCTCCAGTATGTAACCAACCGTCTGAGTCAATTAGCAGCGCTGTACTTTGAGGATCTTTGTAGTAACCTTTGGTGCAACGCTTACCTTTCACACATATCTATAAAAAAAACCTAAATTTTGTTTATATATAAAACACACTGGTAACATTAGTAATCAAAGCTCCAATATGAACACTAATTTCAATCCTATCAACTAAATATCAGTAAATGTTTTTAAGTTAGGGAAGAAAGAACAAATGAAAATGATAACTGAAAACTGAGAATGACAACAATAGTCTCATACCAAACAACAAACGTTACACTTTAACAGACAATCAAAACACAGAGACAGATGATATGTTGATCAAGGAGATATCATTTCATTTTACAAATATAGTTTAATTCGGATGTAGTATTTAAATGCCAGAATAACCATATTCTAACAAAATAAAATTGTAGATCACGTAGGATGAATGTTAACCACAGACACTCAACCAAGAATTTTTATCCTACTGCCTTAAAAGGAAGATTCATGGTGCTGTTTTCCGAAATTAAAGCAGAATGAACGTACAAATTTTATAAATCTCAGTACGTACGTTGGTTGGAGTGTCAATAAATTTTCAAACTTCATATAATAACCTCATTTTGACAATTCATAATTGAACCACTCAACATAGAGGATATAATTATCCGTTCATAGGCTGAATGAAACACTTAGTCAGTTTTCAAAATAGTTGTAACACTTCTTTGGATTTCATGGAAAATCGTGAAAGACTTCAGCACATACAAAATGACTAAACTATATAAAGATACATTTTTAATGAAAGTTTACACAAAAGCTCACCTCTCCTCGATTATCTCTTTTGACAACAAGACCTAAATCTAATACGTCGGCCAATTTTACTTCTACACCATAAGCAACGGCACCCAAAGCACCAACACGAAATTCTCCGACTAAAGATACGGTTACAACTCCCATAGTCTCTGTGCAACCAAAGCCTTCGACAACCTAAATATTTTTAAGACCAGTTTAAAAGTGACTAAGAATTAAAAATTAAAACGTGTCAAATGCGCTATGAGATACTAAATGACAATTCGGTTAATACTTGTTAAATTTAGTGAATTTTATTTATGCAACGATCTTTAAATATGGTTTCATCTACCATTTAAACCTACTAAAATGAATGCACTGTCACCGTTAAATATTTTTTCGACAATTACTAAAAATCCGTGATATATTCCTTATAACATACTGGATAAGTCCAAATATGCTATCAGTTAAATAATAGACTGATAATGAGAGTTTGTTACCATATTTTTTTATATAAACTCTTAATAACTACAAATATGTGAATCAATCTACTTTACTACTTCTATTAAAAGATGATCAAATGAGATAAATAATGAGAGTAACTTGAAGTACTAAAATGTTGAAAGGTTTATAACTGAACGTAATAAAGAAATACACGTTTACACTTAGAAATTTACTTTGGAACTTATAATTGTCGAAGTTTTATCACCTGACGCTCATCATCTATCAGGAAATCTGTTATTAATATTTGATCAAATCTTGATGCCTGTGAACTGTGACAACACTGAGTTTCGCATATTATGTGGCAAACCGCATATTTCGTAAGCATTTTGCAGCCATTTTCAAGAAATTTTTTCGTTTATCAAAAATGAAACGTGTAATAGAACTTTTACTTGCCGACTCCAGGAAGTACAGTAACCGAAATACTATTTAACACACAACCTTACTGATCTGATGCGATTTCATGGAATAACAAGCACAACGATAAAATATCTAGTTTTAAAAAGCAAGGGTTGTTTACTAATAATAACCAGTACTTATCGAATACATTTATGGTGTTAATAATTTAAGTGAAGTCTAATGGATCCAATTCATTAATCAAACAGATAAATTGGCTATTCAGAAGTTAATTATTTATAAGGACTACATTAAATGATCATCTACAAATTATGCAGAACATCGGAAAAAGTTATTGCGAATACAGTGCGTGTGCAGCTTTGAAAACATATATCTTGCAGAGACTGTCATGACTCGGAATACATTGTTTCATATGTAAAAATACCAAAACAATACTAGTTTGGACGAATTTACACATACAGTTTTTGGCTTACAAGTCCATTAAATACAGCACGCATAAACTGTGTAATTTCGGGCATCAAAGGAGCACCGCCCGTTATTATTCCACAAATACGTCCACCAAGAGATTGATGAAGTTTTTTAAAGCAAAGCGTGTCCAAAATACTTTGATGATTAAATTTCCCCCTAATGAAGAAGAAATTTAATCTTTTAATCTCATTTTTATTCACCAAGATAATAACCAACACAAATAATTCCACACTGAAGTGCTATTATTAGATAGAAAAATCAAGGTAGAAATCAATATGTTCAAGTTACTGCACTTTAAAAAGCTATAGAAAATTAGAGAAATGGAAGAATATTGTTAATATTGAGCTAGCAATTCTTATACGAAACTGGACCACGGAGACAAATGAAAAATCACTAGTAGATGAGAAAATGAATTGTATTTAACAATCCGACTAAAAAGTATTCCATGGAACACAGGCTTCTGGTTGACTCCTCAAACTGATAGAATAAGTTTGCTATTACTAGCACGATACAATGAAAATCTTCATTCGTAAATCATTTAAATCAAGAATTGAGACAACTGATATTCACCAGTGGCGATAAACTTGAATATGAGTAATCAGTTGAACCAGTGATATTAACGTTGAGGACAATATTATTTTGTACCGAATGCGATACAAGTATGTGTCTTACATAGGATGGCTTCTTTTGAACCTGAATTTATTCAATAACTATCCACTTTTCATATGACTCCCAAATGTCACTAGCATCTCATGAATTTATTTAGTGCTAACTCCAGGACTAAAAACTCAAAAGAATAAAAAAAGATTGTAGATTCGTCTACAAGGCTTCAAGTCATACTTGTTGAGAGCAGAAACCAAAGATGTAAACGAAGAACTTTTAAGCAAATACATACTCAAAATATCTCAGTACGTAAGGATATAAATTTTAGGATACAGTTATTAGATATGGATATATTAAGCGTTAGGAATATTTAAACTGTTGTTTCAATTAACAGATAGATCATGTTTCACCAAATACAAAAATCATTAGGATTAGAAGGTTTTTGTAAATACATAATGATGAGAAAGTTGGCTTGTGATACGGTGAAAAATCTACTAACAACTGATCTGTACATTACATAGGTTTTGAAACAGAAGTGTCCAAAGTCAGATCCATGTTTAACATCAAATGTGCCATTAGACTCAATGCCTGGGTTCAGGTTAGTGACGGCTAATATGGCTTGTATTCTCTGGAAGTCGACCATATTGGAATTCGACTAACTTTTGGCATGGGTTTGCATCATAGAAAACGTTTTTCACTATTACAATAATATCGACTATGCAACATGAACTAGTAGCAACTAATAATTTTTTAACCGCTGCACAATTTATGACAAGAGAGTATTTACCGTTTTTGTTCACCAAGCTTTTGCTTTATCACATGATTAACCAAACGAGTTTTTAGAGCTGATCCTTCAATGGCTTCATAATACTTGGTATAAATACGGGATAAAACACGTGGAACAGCAGTTAATACAGTTGGCTTTAGACTTTCACAATCAGCAAGTAGTCCATCGACAGTACTTGTCAAGAACCCAATTTTAGCTCCTTCAAGAATGACAACAGACTATAAAACATTAATTAAGCACATAAAAGATGAATTATACTTTTAGACAAACGTGACTACAACAAGATCAATTATGTCAAATATTGTACAATTCATAATTAAACTTAATATCAACTCTGTGAATGGGATTACATGAGTAATCTCCAATATATTTTTGTTAGTAAATTGTTCAACACAGGATCCAGCATTAGTATTACAAACTGAACAGAAACAATAGATAAACAAGCTGTTTTGGAATAAAGAGGCATTTGGAGCAAAATCACCAATAACTATATGCATATGGTTTGTTTTATATCTTTCTTTTTAGTCCATGTTTTCGTGGTTTTGATTTCCTTGAGGTGCCCAAACTTAAGCAGTTGGTCATCCAAAAAGTTTTAATCCCGAGTCTTGACGTCAAACGTTTGCTACCAGGAAAAGGCTAGTCAAGTGCAGTCCTATGCATGGTTTATTCTATTAGAATCTGAAAGTTTATGTCCAACCGTGTCTATAAATTCTGGGTTTCTCGTCTGTCTAACCCATATCATAGTTGTGAAGAGATTTCTGAAGTTCATATATAATACTGGGCATATGGGACCAACTATACATTCTATATGGTAATTTTACTTAGTGAAATCACGGAATTAACGATGTTAGAATGATGATTTATGATAAGTTAAGAAACGGATGTAAATTTGGGCGAACCGATCGCTATCACACGAGTTATTGAATATTCCTCACTAATATAAGTGATTATTATTACAGAAGAATTAAAATTCATAAATAAAACATATCAAGCTGTGACATTAGTTCACAGAAATATTAAATTTGGACCGTTTGGCTTTCTTTCTGTGGTTTAAAATTATTGATTGATGGTCATACGCTCTAACTCATACGTGGTCGTAGGTGTGCACTTCTGAGAATTATTAGCTTTTGAATGCTTCTCAAGCAGATTTCAACTAGTAGAGAATACAAATTTCGAAATACATAAATTTTTTTACATTATACTATCGCAAACAATGATTGTCAACCTAATCCGTCTTACAAACTACTGTCCATGTAAGTATCATTACCAAGGTTTGACTTGATAATTTCGAATAAATTGAGCATTGGGTAGATTGTTAAAAATAAATAATATTCTTGTTGTTCCGTTTGTACTATTTAACTTGGATTAATTTTGATTTGGTTATTTATTCTCTGAAGAAGTGGCTTATAGTTAGTCACGAAACCTCAGAAAATCGCCTTTCTTACTCATTGGGATATTACAAATATATTATTTATTTGCTCTCCATGTAGTTAAGATTCACAAGAAAAATTAAACAGATACCTGAAAATTTCGATTGATACTGGTGTAAGAACCTACGTGCAGATGAATGCATTCTTTTCCGTATTATACACAGTGTATAACTTATTATTTTTTGCTATGTACTCCCCATTTTACTTTGTTCTTTTTATTACAGATTATTATCATTATTGTAATTAGTGACGACAGTTATGTTGTTTCAATTTGTTGCTTTCCGCTATTTCTCCTGATTCCACGTGTGAAAATGAAGATTTACATTAATGTTCTCTTCGTTTTTCCGTCCAGTGTGAAGAATATAAAAGTAGTGATTAGTAACTACACTCAACTATGTTAACTAAAAAAAGGGTTGGAAACCGATAGTTAAAGAAAAGCGATCCTTGTTTGTATATCGACAGTCAGCCTTTTAAAACAATATAATACAGCAAACTGCTAATTACGCTCATATAATGTGAAGTCGCAGATTTTCTAAACAAATGAGTTTAGTCGTTTCTATTCATTGATCTTACCAACTGCTTTCATCAACTTGTTAAGTTGATTATTTGTTGTTGTAAACCTGAAGAATTAAGTCACATGAACATAGTTTTAAAGAATCGTTTCGCATAAAACAGTAGCTGACACCTACAAATCAAAAGAACTGAATGCAATAAATAAACGGGTTATATATATATATATATATATATATATATATATATATATATATATATATATATATATATATATATATATATATATTAAAAGTAAGATGTTCAGTATTTGAATGATGATATTTATCAGAGCCATCGGATAGAAAGCTTAATTATGCAATTATCCGAAAAGAAATTGCTAAATATAGTCATTTCTAAAGACAGTGGCGTTTATTATGATATTAGGTCTTTCATTAAACTGCATGTTACATCTCCAATTTTCAAGTTGCTAACATTTCTTATATTTACCATAACAATTGCACACCAAAGAGCGATTTGTGCTACTCAAAATTACGTTTAGTTAAATTTTTAGAATGTATTTTTGTTAACATGGCAGTATTATTAAAGGAACGACAGAACACTCATGAGACCTTTTCGGATTTTGCTTAGTATTAATTAGATTACGATTGTACCTATAAACGTAAAACTATGAATCGAGCTCAACGTTTGTATTTGTAGATGTGGAAAGTGATAAACTTATGTTTATAACAACTCGTTGCTCAATGACGATGAAATGCAATACACTGAAGCAAGCGAAAAATTGGAATGCCTAGCGAGATCACGTATCTTTAACTTAATACCAGATAAAGGATACGGTGATATCAAAATTAATTCTAGGGGTTTATATTACTAAGTATATGGAAATTTTATACAACAGTGATTTCAGATTCCTAATAAATGCCTATATCGTTTCAAAGAATTAAAATCAGGATGATAATATCAAGTACGAACGATCAGTTTAGGATCAAAAAGGTACATGTGAATATTGCTCAAGTCTACTACTAGACTCAAAAATACCAGTTTCACGGTTATATAAGAACGTTAGCTGATAGCAAACAATGCATTATTTCAGAGTTTAGCCAAGATTTAAGAGCAAATATTTGAGGAAGAAAAAGGTAAGTTGTGTAATGATTTTGCAAGTGGGTTTGAACAATAGTGTAATAAAGTGCTTCAGAAACGAAATTCTTCGCCATCTTTGGATAACCACTAAAAATTTATGTTAGAGATGAGAACTTAATAAGAAGTTAACCAAATTATCGTGCCTCTGGTCCAATGTAAGGGGGACAAAATTAGATTTACTCTTTCAGGAGTAAAATACCTTAAAAAAAACGAGAAATAAAATATACCCATTCTGAGTTCGCTATAGCAGTTGCAAAACAGGGGTTAGAAACGAAGATCACTTTGAGAAAACTATGTCTTTACTCAAAAGTAGTGTTCAGCAACAATGGAGTACCCAAATACGAAAAATAAATGTTCAGTCCAATAGAGCTCTTAACAAAATTATAAAAGGAAGACCAGGTCAAAACTGCTTAGTGCCATGGGAAGTCGAGGTTATAGTATTGCTTTCCGCAGACTATAAAGTACAATTTGAACAGAATTACGCCACTTGCTAAGTCGTTGGAAAAAATTTTAAGAATGTGATAAAATCATTTATAAGTAATAGAACATAATATTTAGAAAATCGGTCAAATACATCATATCCGAGCTAAATAAAAACAATGAATATTATTCTGAACACCACAATATGTTAGGTCTCGTATATTTTTCATCGAATGGTAGAGCTGAATCAATAAAATAGATTGTTGCGTCTCCAATCTACTGGTAATCATAATAAGATTTGTTATCATTAAGGAGAGTGAGCTGAAAAAGTAACTACGGTATAGGATACCAAAATCTCATTATCCTAACTGTGAAACAAGACAGATCAGATAATAAAGTTTTGCCTGAAAATACTCCAATTTTTAAAAGCCTAAACACAAGTAAATAGATGGCAAGAGTTTACGGAAAACTAGATTCGCACGGACGTAACCCTAAATTGCAAAAACAATCCGGAAGCACATGTACTATTCACTGAGATCACACAATACCCCACTTCAGAAACAAAGAATGAAAATTTAGGTCCTACTAACCACTTCCCCTCCATCATAAATTCTCTATTCAATACTGTTGATACTTCAGAAAAACTAACGAATGTTCATGAAGTCACGGAAATACTTTAAATCTTGTATAGGCCAGAAACGAAAAATATATAGGGAAAGCATACTCGAAAAAGAAATCAAATTAAATCTAGTAAGAAAGTATAAACTGGATAAAAATAGGCATGAGTAAATACGCAGTGATCTACGAATACTATATACTGTACTCGATATTGCTTATAATTATAAACAGAGATATGACTGAATGTAAAAATCTTTGCTTAAGAAAATAAAGATGTTATAGAATTTTAATAAGACGGGTTTTGAGCCCGATCTGAATCTGAAGAATGTTTTGATACCAATCCTAATCAAGCAAACAATAAGGGGAATGATCGATACAAATACTCAAATAGATACATAGGCGCATCTTACACTGCAACTGTCGCGAATTTATCTTGATTGTCTAAGCAACTTTTGATACTTAAATCGGTTTATGTATAAAAAATAAGGCATACAATAAAACTCATAATGAACATTGTTTTTCAAGCATAAGTAATCCACATTCAAGAACATACACGTTATGATAAACTCACAGAGTTTACTTGCTCCATGATATGAGCAAATGGCAAATATGAAAGATGCGTTGATAATTTATTACAGCACTAAAGAAACAAAAATGAAAGTAAATGAAAATACAGTGAATTCCATACAAAAAACATCACTACAATTCAAACGAAAACAGCGTGATTCTGAATAATAATATGCCTATTTTTATTTTTTTTTGAAAGCGACGTAAAACCATGACAACTATTAAAATCTTTCATTACAGTACGGTGACATTTTCTTCTTATCAAGTGGGGTGTTATGAAGAGGTTGAAATTTTGATTACTCACGTCTTATTGACTATAACTAACTTCTGGTCTGAGCCATGTTGGTAGATACAGACTACTTGGTTGGGGGCCGCACAACTATCGTAACGAGTGTGTGGGGACTCTGGATGATATAATGACACAATGAAGTAGGTGTATACACTCTTTGTCTTCCCTTAAACCGTGAGATTATAATTACTTTACACCTTTCTTTTTACGAACTTATTCTTTATCCTTGTATCATATACTTACATGAAATTTTTTATTACCATTGAAATAACTGCTTCTATGAATTTGGCGTTCATCTTGTTGTGCTAATGAGATATGATAACTTGGATCAATGCATATATTTTCCTGGTCCTGAGTTGTAGCTGACTGATTGACTGCCCATAACCAGTTGTACAGTAGGCATTCGATATACATCCTGTTAATTCCGGAATATGGCAAACATTGATCCATCTTTCCCAATTAAGACAATCAATAATCATTAATTTTCACATACAAATTTGGTCTGAATACATATGTCTATAACTGACAAGTGACTTACACTAAAATTAATACTCATTTAGACAATTTACATTGGCTCCAGTAGACAGACTGTTATTTGCGAGGATGATTGAGCTGAAACCCTAATAATAATTAGATTGAATAGTAAACGTTGTTACCGAAAAATAACTCATGTCAATTCGGCGACTTTTTTCTTCTAACTTAAATCTTCACCCCAGTGCCAAAAATGTTTTACACGTAAGGAATGCAAAAATTATCTTGAATGAATGCAGATATAATATACATATAACAAAACAGAATACCGCAAACATATGTATGTATGGCGCGACAATATACCTTTTTATCCACAGATGCCTTGAATTAAAAGTTTTGCTCTATAAAACAACCCATACAATCAATAGTATTTGTTCCACTATCAAAAAAATTATAATTGTGGAAGAACGGATTATTCATTGGCAAAAAGCACACAAGCCTGGTTAAATCTAGTGAATTTCACGCTGTAACAATAAATCAGTCAGTCATAATCCCTAACATTGATGTGAGTAAAAAGGAGTTATGAGGTCATGTGGTTAGACGTGATTGCCAAGATTTAAGTCAGTCACTGTAAATAATTGTTCTGAGAATAAACAATCGATAACGTAATAGAATAACTGAAAATGTACAATCAATTCACTAACCTTCTCTTCAGTATTTTCAATGATTCCAAAGACTGCATCGACAATTTGTTGCTGTTCGATCATCACACCTTTTGGTAAACCTACACAATGTATGAGAAATCAGAGATCAGGGGATATATATCAGACACCAAGAACCAAAAGAACTAACTAACCACAAACTTTACATTCGACATAGTTTGTGAAACTAAATTACTTCATACAGCTCCAGAGTCATCCTATTTTCGGTAAAAGCTAACTGATCAGGGTCCGTTTATCGGGAGTAATAAAGTTCCAACCTATCCTAGTGATTCAATCACTAGATCGTTGCAAAACGGCTACATAATTTTCGATTATCTCGAGCAAACAAGAATGGAAGTCAGTATTTTGTTTCAAGAATGACCTTCATAGATGAACAGGAAATTGTCTGACCATAAAAACTACAAGAAACTTAATAAATCATAACAAAATGAAATAAAACGAGAAAGTAATTATGAAACTACCTGTGCTTCCACTGGTAAAGCAAATCATATATAAATCATCTGGTTTAGGATCCTAAACAAAGTTAAAAATTAAAAAGTTAATTTACACTTGACATATAACAATCGTATAGGATAACATTTACTAACTGTCTTTTTGCCTATTATTAAATGCTGTAATACATTGCACGTGACAAACGCCTTATAGTTTTAAACCATATTAAGATTAAAGGTGTATTCTAACGTCATTTATCAACTAATTATCTATAAAAGTGACTGTAACTCAGGTTACTCTAACTAATAACTGATCATTTGCAAAAGTGACACATTCGAGCTAAATGTTTTTGGATGGTTAAATTAATGTGTCTCAGAAATGTAGACAGTCCACCTTAGCATTTTTATATTTCATCATTTTAGCTCATACATTTTGTGTTAACACTACTCTTGTTATTTGTTTTTAAGACTATACAGTGGCCAGATATCGATGGAATCACGTTTGAATTATCAAAAAATGTATATTCATAATAAATTATTATTGAATTATAAAAGACTTTTATTCATTGATTTGTAATTTGATGAAGTGGATGGTGTTTTAAGACTGTATTCAAAAGAAAACATTAATTTCGATTTATGCAACAAGTAGTTTTAGGAACAACCAAACTGAACTCTAATAAAGGAAGGTAGCAGACAAAGTAAAATTGCAAGTTCTCATATCCGACTCTTTATAGATTGAAAAAGCAGCATAACCGGGAATTGTCGACAATCGAGAAGAACCTCTTTACAGACCTCAAACTTCTACTCACCCAACAAGAGATTTTGATTTTATTAAATTTTCAAATTCGTCAAAATTAAGTAATTTACTTTCATATAATGATGATGCACAAAATGCAGGGTTTCAGGAAAAACCGAGAAAACCTGAAACTTACAGTTTTTGGAATATGATATTTAATTCCAATAGCCTGAAAAATAAAGAAAAAACAGGTGGTATAACAAATGCAAATTATCATGTTTATCTTACCTTTCTCAGAAATTGAGTATCACTTATGTGTTAAATAAAATAGGTTATGCAACGATTTGGACAGGTAGTTATGTTAATAACATTTTTGCGCATTAATATCAATGCTGAAAACGTAGAGATCTGGAGTAGTGGTCATATTGTTGAACTTAATAGACGGAAGATAAGCATTTAACACTACTAAATTTGACCTCAATAATAATATTTGGTAAACTAAACGTGTTATTATTTTCCCAACATAACCAATATCAAAATGTGATTATTCCGTTTAGTAAATTTATATTACTCCTGATATGCAAAATAAACAAGAATTGGAATAATCAAGTTTTACGAACCAAATTAAGCAGATGTGTCAGATAAAAAATTTATTACAATAGCTTCTTTATAAATTGTTGCAAGAAATGAGATGATCCTATTTTCTGTTCTCAATTCAAATTGAAGTATTTGCTGACTTAACTGATACTACATATAAGCATCAAGTTTATACTGCCAATAAGGGAGAAGTTCAAAGTCGAATGTTGGTTGTTAGATATTTTTTGAACTGTCTTAATAAGCAACTTCTTAATAGACTGTCGGGAAAATTGTTCTATTTAAAGCAAAGAACACTAATAACCAGGCTTAAAACAACATGTTTACATATAAATTATGAAGATCAACCGTGACTAAGTAACACTAAGGCTTTAAAAATTATTGAATAAATAGTTTACTCCTTTCGGAAATAACGTAGTAACTTAATGGTAGCATCAGATGATGGCCGAGATGTCGTAAAATGACTGAAATGGAGAATGTCTATGGCATTTGAACTTAATGGCCTGAATATACAGTAAAATCTATGAAATTCTTATCGTGGGAACGTGAGTATGCACTGTCGAAAAAGTTTTGAACAAGGGTGAAATAGTTTTGTGATCCTCAGTAAGGTTTCGTTGATGTCAGCGTTCAATCCAAGAGTTTCTAATGCTCTTGATGTTTCTGTGTGTTCACTAACCCGATGAAGTATATAAATACAGAAGCGATATATATTACATGTTGATTCTATTTTAAATAGTGTTCAATAATTTGGTGAAGTTTGGAAAGCAGAGTATTCGACAAATTTTGGGATCGTATTTCGGTTTTCAGGTAAGCGAAAAAGCTGGGGGTTTTTCCGGAAGAAAACAGGTAAAGATACTAGTTATAATTTGAACTTGAAGATAAAATACAGAATATAAAACAACATAACATAGAGAACATTGCCCTCTGGATAAATAAAAAGTAAAAATGTTACCAAGAACCAACGGAAGAATTCAATAGCACATTCATTTAAAATGAATGTAGTTATAAACATAAAAAGGAGATTGAATTTAGAGAATAAATTTTCATCAATGAAATTATGTTAGAGGGTAACCATTACAGACAAATCAAACTTTAAGATTAGAGTTATAATGATAAATGTATCAATATTTATTGGAGATATGGTTATATTTGAGCCAATCTTTAGGAAGGAATAAATAAAGGAGTCTAAGAGCACTTACAATTATGCAAAAATTAGCGACAGGTTTTATCGAGATAAATTTCAATCTAACAAGTGCTTTCCAGAAATTTTATTGGTTTCTTTCCACAAAATCTATGCGAAATATCATGGTATTGGTCAGTTGAAATTCATAGCATAAAGTCAAGTTTTTTCTGTGATGAAATGTTCATATGATAGAACGTCATAGAAACACTTACTAAAAATTCATCAAATAAATAGATTTTCACATTTGATGAAAACCGAACCTTGGCTTCTGCGACTTTAGGACCATCGTTTACTACGATTACTAAATTGATGAAGGACAATGATTGTTCTAAGACACGGCATATTTCTTCACCCGAGTCACACACAACAACACGTAGTTCAGCTGTAATGAATTTTATAAGAAAAATGAGTAAAAAACGAATGTTGAGATTAATATTTATTAGTAACGGAATATTTTAATCAACAAAAACATCTCTATTTCAAGTAAGAACACTGAAAAAGGCGTTGAGATAAAATCTTATACCGATAAGCAATAAAGAATGAGATACAAGTACGTTCAATATATCTTCATAGTACTAAAACCGAGATATGACATTAATCCTAGAAACAATTGATTTCTGACCCACGTTAAGAAGAGAAACGTAAGACTTCACCCCATGTTGAGATTGAGCAACCATTCCACCCAATATCGTACTGGAAAAATGGAGACAGATGGTTATTGTTCACACTCTGCCTGAAGTGTTCTCGTACATAGCCTTGAGTGTGTAAATGAATTTCTCATTCACATAGTACTTGAAGAGTCTTAAAGTACAATCGTGTCAAACAAATCAAAAGTAACGATAATTGAACTGGAATAAATGTGACGTCGCTTATTCGATGGTGAAGACGTCAATGGGTCTACGGCCACAAAGAAAACTAGCTTGATCCTCGCAATTCATTCCTTTGTGAGCTTACCACAATCTGCAGAGTATGAGGGAAGCTGCTAAATCGGTATCAGTCTGAAGTAGAGTTACCGGCTGATATTTGTAGCATAACATACTTAGGTCTCCTTTTAAAAAATAGATATGACGATCTCTTAATCCAAAGGTGATGGAGCACTCAATTCCTCGAAATCTTCAAAACAACTTAATCAGTTCTCTGACCAGAAATTCGTTAACATTCATAAAAAGACATGGGAGTATGTCACCAAGACCAGCAGCCATTAGGTCAGGAGAACAGGACAGTTCGACCAACACTTCTGTAGCAACAAACTAACTGTCCTTCGGAGTCCTCCATACAGTGTTCGAAGCACTTTTAGAGACTACTAAATGGTGTGTCATCAGTTTGACAGATTATTTCACTGACATCAGATCCCTTGCTGCCAGTGGCTCGGCTGAGTTGAAATAGCTTTTGAAAGTTACCAGATGCATCTGATTTCAACTCATTAGCAAACTCCAACTAACAGGTCTCTTGTTTCTTATCCAAACTTCGTAAATTTCTTAAGGATCAATATGCAGGCTGGTGTGCCTCAAAGAAATAAAAGGATTTTTCAGATCTCGTTCTATTCCATTGATTTATAAAAAATACATTCCAAAACGTAGTTTGTTAATGAAATTTTGCAGAAAGTTGACACATCGAAGTCTAAAAGTGATTACCAAGAATGAACGCGATTATCTTCAACGTGCTCTTTGGTTAACAATGAGAAGCAATATAACAAGGATATATTTTAAAATTGCGTACGTATACAACACAAATATCAAAAATCTCATGCTAAAAGTTTTATTAATAAAGTTAAAAGTCAGCTTATCGAGAACATTAGGGATAATTATCCGTGATTTCAAAAATCGTAATATCATTTCTGAGGCTCTTATCCAAGTTGCTCAATTGATAAATAGAAGTTAAAAATGCACTTCATGAATAAAAACCGAGTTGTCTGAAAGTCAATCTAAAATACTCCCAACGCAATTTTCATGTTGTAGATCAAGTGGTCCCCGTCTGATAGTCGACATAATCGTTTGTTTAGTAGTCGAATTCAACTGACTAATGTAATTCACAAGTATTATTTACATACAAATTATACAGTTCGGAACGGCATAAATACGAACTAAAAGTTTACGACTCACATATTTTTGATATGTGAGAACTAAGGCGAATACTAAACTTATTACCTATTTCAATAAAAAGAAAGATATTTAATTTCATACAGGCGTATACATTAAGTAGGTGAATGAAATAATGGGATTGTGTTCTTGATATTGTGATATTTTAAACACAGTTCATTAACGATAGTAATTTTCGTATTTTGAAATAGTTTTTGATACGCCCAAAAGGATGTTAGTATATCCGATTAGTAGAGAGAATAAAAGTAATATAAAATAGCTGACAGATGTCTTACTTAGCTTAAGGATATGTTGCATGGCTTCATCACCTAAAGTTGCATAGATAGGAACTATTGGGAACCCATAAGCTGCACAGGCGTGCTGCGCAATAAACCACTGTAAAAATAAAATAAAATTCAAACTAAATACTAAATAAAGTATATTTTATTGGAAGGTTTTTGATAAATAGTCATTCCAAAAAACTTATGATTGGTGCCGGAATAAATGACTGAAGTTGAAACAATTTAACAGGTGAAATAAATATAATATTTACTATTAACACGTTGTGAAAAGGCTTATAGTTATAACAGATTTATATTTGTCTTAATATGAATTACTAAAATAACTAAAAAAATATTGTCTTTAAACTATTGTGATGGCTTACTTAGAATCCAGTGTTACCAATAAGGTCATATTTGTAGGTAATAACTTCAACTGCTCATAGACATATAACTCGAAATACTACAAAAATTCTGCATGAAATTAAAACAAACATAATACTTCCATTCACTTTGTGAATTGAGAAGAGTAATGAAACCTTTCAAGGTACCTACCTAAGATGTAACCATGAAGAGAATGTCTTTGATATGTTGTGAATAGAGAATTAGTTATTAAAAGTTTTCTGAAATGTGTGGTGTGTTACCAGTGTCGATCAATCCGTTACTCAGCAGGTGTGTACTCAAAGCTGGGTTGTGTGAAAATATGCCACACCATGTCGCAATTTATAAATATCAGTGGTTAAATTAAGCGTTTGATCTACTATAGGAGACCCAGCAAACACTCTACTTCAAAACTTTATTTAAATACTCGTCATTGAATTATGTGGACATATATACACGTAAGTGTAAAAAGTGAAAAATATCAACTTGCCTCGGGTGAATTCCGACCAAAAATACCAACACAATTATCACTCCATGGAATATGAGAAGCAACTTTCACTAAAGCTGATCCAAATGCCTGTATTTTGTCATCTACCTATGCCGACAAAATATTAGCTTTGTTAGTATATCTTACTTCTATATAAGTTAACCAAGTATATTTTTCATTTGGACTAGAACGTCGTCCTAAACAGGGTTGAAAGCCTATTTAAAATAATGGAGGAATGAAATCAGACGTATATAAAAACTGAAGTGCTAAGCGCAGCAAATAAAAAAAGATATTGACGACGAAATCTAACTACATATCACAAGGGGAAACCTCATTCATTGTTCAGCAAAAATGATCAACAAGTGTCCAGCAGCATCAAGGTATATGAAACAATATTACATTTCCGATAAATCATTTTGTATCACATTCCAAGTGAAAAATTATCGAATTAAAAAATCATAGCAAGCTTTCACAATGGGCCTACTGCTTCTACCAATTACTTACTAGCAGTTAAATACTACATTTAATTTATTAGGCTAAATATTTGGGTAACAAAATGTTTTCTAATGCAGATTATGTAAAGTTGTTATTGAAACCAGAAAAATATCTGTTTGACAATGTTTCACATACTCTAGATTGGGAGTATGGCGAAAAGATACATTTGTGAGATGGGAATTCGACATACGTGCACATCAACTCAGGCAACTGAATTCGAAAAGGGGGGCTTATTTTTCAGGAAGGTAAAGTGATAGACTGGGTGAATTCTCACAAATCACATGCCTGTGTTCAAATGCCACCTTTATGCCAAAAGCTAGGTGACAGATAAGGCATGCTATTGGGTGGAGCCTATAACGTACATTTTCAAGGTCTAAGCTTATATGTTATTGTCTAGATCTAGGAGATATATATACCACAGATTTGTATACACTTGTTTTTGTTTCCCAATTACAGCTTTTCAGTCGTTTCTAGTCTTCTCACTTAGCTGTTCAGGAAACGTTTATGAACAGTTTGTTTTCGTATAAGACAACTGAAGAAAATAAAAGAGGTCATAAATATTGATTGCATATAAAACAAACAGAATATTTTGAAAATATTGAGGTTTTGGTAGATTTTTAATAAACCTCGTTTCCAATAAAAAAAAACTTACGTGAAGTCTCCAAACCTTTTTCAAACAAATTCTTCATAGTGCGTACGTCAGAAAACTTTAGAGTAAGCCGAGTTGTGAAAGGGGATTTACGAGCCCCTGTCTAGAAAATAATAGATCGAACACTCATTAATTCTTTTTGATGTAAGGAAATTTCCACCATTTATTTTTTGATTCATTAAATCAAAAGCAGTTAGATCATCAATGTGCATTGATCATGTAAAAGCGAAGGTGGTAGCTTTATTTACAATCAACCGAGAGTTTCGGCTTAAAATTTTCCAATAGGGACACTCGAAAACTCAATAAATCTTATATCCTATTGGAAATTTAATTCAATATAACCCAAAATCGCAATTACAGACGATATAATGAGACGATTCAGACAAGAAGGATGCGAAAATAAAACTTTTAAAACGTCGAATAACAAGTATTTCAACCAATACAGCTCGATAGGCTAGTTACAGTAGGAAATCCCAACCAGTATATCAGTAGTATAGCCATGAATCAAATAAAATTTGCACATGAACTTTATTTGTTTGCCCTCCATCACTGGAATAGGACTCATACCATCCTACTAGCTTAAAAATTGTGTTGAATGAATGAATCTAACTCTCTACAAAACAAGTTAACGGATAGATAATTTTCATAGCCCTATACTTAGAAAATGATATTTTATCGTATTTTAATAAGCATAACAAATGTTTGACGAAAATAATCTGTCCGGAAATTGCTAGTTCAATTGTTTAAATTTTTATATTTCTATTTATGTATCAAAACGAATAATCCCATTTATGAATGTTTATTGCTTCTTAAAAAACAAACAAGATCCCACTTTTAATGAAAGAAATGGAAATGCATAAAACCGTCTGCCAATAAATTTATATTATTAGACTGTTCCTCAGTGTAAAACCGTAACTACCATGTCGTCGTCACCAATTCAAATTTGCTAAATAAATTTCCAGAGGAACCTGTTCGGAAGTTCGCAGAAATTCTGCACTGAATCCTAAACAGTTATTACGCAGGGAATCATAAACAACGCAGGACTTGGAAAAGATATCTATAAGACCCTGTCTCCATTCTTCATATTGATATAGAAAGAAACCAAGCAGAAGGAATTAGATACAATAATGTCAATGGTCGAGTCGCTAATCAATGGTTACGATTATCTCACGGTGATTACCTAGAAAGTTTGTTCCTTTCAACACCTATTAATCAAATGGCAAATGACTATGAATTATTGTTATCCTCGTTTTTACCCTGCCTATTTCTATTCTACTATTATCCCAGGTAGAAAAGTGATTCAGGGTCTGTGATGGTCAGGTATACTTAAGATGAATTCTAACAACTTAGATTATTGAGGGTTTACAGGTTGACTAACCAACAGAATTTTCCAATATAACACCCTACCCTCAACCATGATTGATATTATTCACAATACATAGAGAACGCAGTGATTAAGTCCCAAAACTCCAAATGAACACTTAGGCCTCAAATGTCACAATCTACTGATATGAAGTAAAAAATATTGAGCTGTTGTACACTATACTCGCTCTTCGATATGTAGACAGATGATTACAACATTGACGGCACAGACTAACAAAGGTTGAGTAAATTTTTAAATCCGTGATAACATTTCGTTGGCCACTAATGACTTTCAACCGTGCTACCCAAGGTCGCGCCATTAACTGTAAATATCTTGTGAACCACAAGCGACATACTTGTCGCTTGCAACATTCCACCTTGTGATTGAAGTAAGCGTGGAGTTCTTGAACTAAAAAAAGTCATAAATTTCTGTCTTATTCCAAAGCTATCCTTAGTAAAGTATCAAAATTGTCGTTGTAAAAAATACGAAGATAAGTTTCTACATATTGTTGCTTGTGACTTACAGATACTTCTTGCAATTTCGAATGATAATGGAGTGGATCCGGTTGTCATAATACATTCGAATTACAACTGTATAACAGTACTAAAGTGAGGAAACTAACAATATTGTGGTAGAGTTTAACTTTAGCACACTGGGGGCTACTGAACAATGTTGCGGCACTGATCACAGGTTCACTGTTCATAAGTCTAGTTAAACAAAGAAAATGACAACTAATAGTTTGGTTTTGACCAGTAAATATCTAGACCAGCAGTGATCTCTGACTTTCATTAAGTGACCTATAACTCAGAGTGTAATCTATTCATTTTGAATTTTTTCATTTGGAGACATGAATGATACACTACTTCTGCTCCTACGAATGAAATGCACGGTATTTGACTACCTCTTAAAATCAATAGAAGGATCCGTTGCTTTTCTCAACAACATTAAACACTAATGTGACCAATAATATGACCAACGAAGCAGGCGATGAGCGTCACTAGCACTCAGACGGAGTGACTCAAGGTAAAGCAAATAAACCTATACTTGATGAATTACAGCGAGATCATATCAGACATCAATCATGTCCAGACACAAAAAAATATTGCTCAAAAAATCACATTTGATTTATTAACATTCCATCTTGTAGACAAAGACCAACCTTGGAATCAATTATGATTGACTGTCTGTTTACATGTGGGGATACATATGGTTCTGAAACGTTTGGTTTGTGTACTTTGTAGTAGTGATGAGGATAATCTGATTGAACACCTAAAATTCAATAACAAATTATAATAAGAGTTTAAATAACGGTTTCGTGATATTGCATCTAAAGAAGTTATGGAACAATATGCTCATAACTAATCATTTGCTTTCTCCACAAATTCGAGAATAGTTTATCACGGAATACAAGATTGTTGAAATAGGATAGAATTTTTTATTTCCTACATATATGAGGGGTCAGTGAAAATACGCTTGGTTAGTAAAAATTCATCATAGATTTAAAAGAAACACTGTTGGAGGAAGTAATTCAGTAAAGATCATCTAAGAATGTTGCCATAATAAAATCAATTTGAATTAAATTAGAACTCCTCTGCCATCGTTTACTGAAAACAACCCAAAAAGATGAAAAGTAGAAGACATAATTTATCGCATAAATAAAACGACAGTTTTTTGCAGACTATTACCGCTCAATTAGTCAAACTTTGGCCCAACAAACGTGTAGTATTAAGACTGAGGCGGTGTACAGTTTGTTTGAACCACCACTTATAGTCTTTAGAGCTTCCTCGCGATGGCGAATTAGACACTTTACCAAACATATAGTATTTAAAAAGACAATTATTATATTACTGTTGTTGCTAAGCTACATGTCCAATCATAAACGCATCTTAGTGTGATTCATAAAACTTACTACGATATATTTTCGAACACCCATAAGTATCACACTCAAAGAGTTGCGAATTCATAACTACGAATATGTTCTGTTTACAGACTGTGATCAAACATCAGTAGACAAATTTTATTGAAAAGCGTCGATACAGTTGAACTGTAGCTACAGTATTCTGTTGTCAGATTGCATTTTTCAAATCACTCTCACATATTTAGCTTTAAACAAGCATTGTTTGCAATTTTATTCTTATGTTAAGACTCATTACTGTGTACATAAGAAAGTGTGAAAGAAGATTATTCATTTACTATTAGTTGCTTAAAATGTGATAAATTGGAGGCCAAGTAATCTGTAAATGCAGTAATTTTCCAGGCACTTCATCAGATATTGATGTTGAAAAACCATAATAAACTACAACCGCTGTAAGAGCATAAGGATTTTGACAAACTATATAAACCCTCATTAGCGACAGCCATACTATAAACATTTGAAAAATAAACTCACATTGAAAATGACCCAACTACTCCTAGATAAGAGTTGTGGTCCAATGGAATTATTTCTCAACCGTCGACTTGCAGGTTCGAACTCAAATCTACGTACTTGAGTCTCACCGATCGGATGGTATCACTCGTTGAAACACGTAAAGCATGTCTCAAAGTTTGATGGTAAATGATTTATGGTAAATCAGTTTTGTTGAGTAAGCAGTTCGTATGCAGAAATAGCTCTCATTGATCGTTATAGTTAAATATAAAGGAATGCCTTAAATGTTATTTATCAGGGAAGCAAATTGTCCTCATACAAAATTTCGGTGGACAGAACCCTATCGGACAACATTATGAATACGCCCAGGGCCTTGTTATTGTGTTTATCGAAAAATAAAATGAGTTTTGAGCAATAATAAGACGTTTAATTTCTCCAATATCACTAAGTTTTGTTAAATATGGGAAAATATATGCAACGTTTTACCCCCAGTCCTTAAACAATTTTCACTTGGTAACTAAATAAAAGCATTAGCCAAAAGTATACTATTCTAACTATAGTTAGTATAACCATAATTTGGCTTCTCTTAAAACTATGAATCCAATAAAATTATTCAATATTTTGCTAATTAACATTGAACTTTGTGGATTACCTTGATTCATAGAACGTCAGCAATGAGTGATGTCTCAATTAAAGTAGGAAGCTTTACCGTCACATTTCAAGCGAAAAATGTCTGTAAACAATACATAGGATTGGACGCTCAAAATGTACCGAAAATCATCAACTTCAATAATATTCTTTTTTCGTTGTTTTTTATTTAAGCGATTCAGATAACTCGTCCGGGGTTATTATCAAAGAATTTAACCATAAATGATTTTTGTTACCGATGATACAGTGTGGAAATGGTCAGTCAAATCGCTTGTCGTTTTACAGCGCAACCTGTTTAGAAACAACTGATTCCCGAAAACCTCTTAAAACTCCTAAGAGACCACATAATCCAAAGTTCAATGATACTTTTAGATCCCTATATGGAGACATTTTTATCTTAAGCACGCGGATGATATTACTTTACTGTAAGATGAAAGCCAGGTTATTGAAATCCTTCTCATTTATTTAATAATTAGTGTCCGTGGGAATAATATGCTTTTCACACATACGAAATACAAAACGCTCCTGCAAGAATGCCAGGATGCTGTTTTTACGCCGACTCTGTAGTAAACCAACCGAAGTATTTGGTAAATCTGTTACATGGATGGTTGCGTGACTCAATCTAGAAGCCAATATGGATCCTGGTGTAGCTTTTGTCGAAATAATTTGCTCGTATTAAAGTTAGTTTTCCTTGGCCTTATTAATTGCTGAAGTGTACTGCTTACCATATATTATTCTTCTCCACCTATTTATCGATCGTACTACCCTTCTTTTATTTATTCCTCAACAAATTATCATTTCATATGTGTGGTAAATACTTTTTGGCATCAATAAAACAGTCGTATGTCTTTAAACATAGGTAAATTACAGCTAACTAACTCCTAAGTGAACTTGGTCAAAGCTACGCATAAGATCTGAGGAGGTATACCACAGGAAGAAGCCAATCAATTGATATCAGAATATATTTTAGCATGATGTTTCGACTAGTTACGTTAATTTGGAGGGCACAGTGAATTACAAAATGAAAACAACGTTTAATCATCCAATCTGTTGACCTTCTTCACATGATGGTTGTCACACACGGCTAATTAAACTTCCAATTCAAACCTGAGAGAGATAAGAATACTGAGCTTGTTGAATAGGTATTTCATTTTCACAATTTTGTCTATGAATCGTCTGTATTGTCATGGATGCCAGATATCCCAAAGGTAATCATATTGTCAGCTGCAGGGGTCTTACCGAGATAAACAGAAGTCTATCAGGTGTGAGCAAATATAAGATGAAACATACACTAAATAAGTTATAAACAAGCTAGTTGACGGCATGAGTTTTCATATTTCAAACCTGTGCTCTTTGGAACGCCACGCTCCCCTGCTAAAGTAATCACATAACTCTCGGTGCATTGCTTCAAGAAAGTTACACAATTACGTGCATATACATAGACTACACTTCTTCAACTGGAATAACGAATAAGTGAATAGGACTACATGATATTATCGCCACAGGTATTATCGTCCCTACGCTAATGCCACTTTTCCTCTTTTTATTTTATTATTTACATTTTCATTAATATTTTAATTCAGACTATCCTATATCTTCAACTCTTTTCCTCATTTCCTTCACCCATACTGTGAGCAGAGTGTGGAGGACAAAATGACTTGATAACATAGTTGTAGCTGCTTCCAGATATCGTCTTATCCTGAAACATTCATCTTTTAAAAACACACCAACAACCAACTACTAATAGAATTCAACTGAACGAATGGAAGTAAATTTAGACACCTTACAGTAACACAATCGTTCAGTTTTTCAACAGGATCTCACTAACTCGAGCTAAAAGATATTGCACATCATTTCAGGGCCCTGTATCTCGATAATGTTACGTATAAAATAACCTTATTCGCAAAAGTTTTGCATTAAACACTCAAAACGGAGACTTTTGGGAATAGATTTAATTTTTTCTGTTACAGCTCTAGTTGAAATACGTAAACTCTGATAACTTACAAATAAGATCCGGCATAAACTCCTCTAAGTATAGAGTATGTGGAAATGATTTATGACATATTCCTATTTCACACGGACTAACAAAAATGGCAAGTATGGATATTTGACGTATAGCGTATCTGTAAAAAGCTGAAGTAAGCCAATCGCCCCTTCATGATGGCGTTTGTATGTGGAGGTACAGATTCAGATCTTTAGTGACAACCAACGAAGGATTTAGACACTCGATTGCATTACTCTTGGTGAATCCAACAGTTACTTGAGGGCTGGTAGACTTTGAATGTAGGCAAGTGCACTTACACTGATGTAGAGGGGTTGTTGGAACCAGCGGCCATCATGTCCCCATTCAAAGGACTGGTTAGTTGTAATCTAGAAATCGCACGACTATAGCATATAGCAGGCAGATTAAACGTTTGATGCAAATTAGCTATTTAAACCAGATAGATGAATGCATGAAACAACAAGCAAACAAATATTATATAAAATGAATTAGATTGCGGTAGGTTACTTATAAGAAATATTGATATCACACAACAGTGCATCTAAGAATTACCGACAAAGAAACACCTCTCCCCGATGATGTATGCAGTTGACCGTTACTTCAGGAAAAAGACAGTTATTCATAATCGGAAATATGACTGTAAACTCAAGGGCTGTGCATCACTGAATGCTAACACTTATTCCCATAAACAGTCAGATCTCGTTATTTCGAAAGCGTTGGCAATTTCAACAACTTTTTATAAAAACCAGATAACTTCTACACAAAGTAACTCACATAATTTACACTGCATTTTCCAGGACAAATGTATTGCACTTAAAGGTTATGGTATTTAAAACCGTGTGAAAGTGCAATCCTAAATTATGACCTAGAAGGATAGTAAATTAAAACAAAACACTTTAAACCACAAAGTACGTTGAGCTAACTAATCGTTCAAAGTTAAAGGATTCCATTCCAAAATCACCACTTCTTGGAGCTCGGAACGAGTGGTTTTCTTCTACATACTCAGGAATATAAAGGAACATCTTACATTGATGGGCGACTATAATTAATGGAAAGCTCTCATCAGCTCATAAATAACAGTCTCAAACGGAAAAATTTATAATAAAGGTTCCTTCGATAGACCACCGAACATTTTTTAATGTCGCTGAACTCATTCTCAAATATTGCCATAGATGAGCTAGCACAGAGAAATCAATTGGTCTACACTAGCTCACCACAACGATATTGGCTGGGAGTTACTCTGTTCTCCTATATTCCTGAGTGTGCAAAATAAAACCTATCGTCACGTCGAAATATGCTGATATCACAACAGATTTTCTTCTTCTGGTCGTCTGTCTGTAGAATTATGGCATACGTTGGTATTAGTAGATTTATCTTTGTTATTATAATGATAGACATGATCTTAAAATCATGGATTTGCTATTATGTGACCACGTTACGTGGATGTCACATCACGGTGTATATTAGGTCGTCCTACAATGACAATCATCGATATGATATTTGGTACTTTTGAAGAATATATTTGGCTGGAGGTAAAATAATGTATTTTTCAGATTCAGATTCAGATTTGTGTAATAAGGACAGAAGGCCTACGACCTATGTTATTCCTTTTCTAGTATGCTTCTGTGAATGTCCAGTCTTCTCTTGAATGTGTGGACACCACTGCTTCGGGCAGCAGGTTCCAAGTATTGATGACTTGGTGTGAGAACCTGTATGCCGTGGGTAGTTTGTTCGTTCTTGGCTTTTTTACTCGCTTGCTATATCCTCTGAGATGTCCCTATCTAGTGGGAAGAAAGGCGTGAGTTACACAGAATCATCACATCTGCAAGGCTACGCCATGATATTTCGACCAATTTTACAGCGTTCATCATTTTTTATCCTCTCTAAGGGTTACATGTTGAATGTGAATATCTAGTGTGATCGTATGTTCAGCTTTGAGGATCGTGTGGTTGGGAATAAGCAACATTATATCGCTTTCCTACCAGGATCAACATTACGTTGTTTCGATCACAAGTCGATTGGGATTGTTGCGCGCCAGGGGTTAACAAAAGAATAATGAGGATGTTCCAGGTGGTAATAAATTGAAACAAAAATCAAAAAGAAAGCAGCATCATCTAATCGGAATGTACGTGTGATAACTTCAAAATGTCTGAATTAATCCTGAACACGCACAAAATGGAAATCTACGCGAATATTATTTAAGGGTTAGACAATGGGTGATTTCAGTGATGAGGAAAGCTTTAGTATATAAATACTTTACTAAGTCATAATAAGATGAATAGCTGTAACCGCTGGTTAATAGCTTAGCTTTAGGGAAGTATAGGTATTTCGTGCATAGAAAAAGAAAAAGGTCAGCATTGTATAAATTTTGATCGCGGTATTACCTTCGCTTTAATTTAGAAAATCAGTTAACTTTGATGTTTGCAGGCTGTTCATTTTTCCCACTAGCAGGTTAGCTAAAGAAACAACGGTATGACCGCAGAAACGAAGAATTCTAACTAATATTCCAGTTGTTCTGCTAAATTTAATACAATTTATTTAGGTACAGGAAGATATTATTGACCTTGTTATTGTATTTAGTAATAAAAGTAGTGTGAACTGCTATCAACCGTACACTTTATACGTAAAAATAATGTTAATTATGTGAATTTCGGACATAAAACTGGTGGTAGTTCGTTGAACATTAGTGCATTCGCAAGAGATATGCTCTGAACTCAATGTTCTAATGTGCAACATATCGACATTTGAAATTCATGCATGACGGTTAAAGGTACATATACGTCAGTTGCAAGTATCAAGTTTGAGACTGTACAAAAATCGATTTGTATGAATTTGAGTGATTATGAGGTGTTGAAATCAACTGAACTTATGTGCCACAAATGTAGGTGATATTTTGTTGTACGATGCTTTCGGCTATATCAATTTTTACAAGATGATAAACAGGGAGTGCTGCTTATGTGATTATCAGCAACAGCACACGTGATAACGGCTGCAATTAAACGCAACTCAATTTCGTAAATGTGCCCTTCAGCTTAGCAACCAATCAGAATGAGGCGGGAATTATTACATCCGCCATCTTCGTAAGCAATGGCGGTCGGCTTTCTTCGTTCTGTGCTTCTTTCAGCTACTTCTTTTGTGTAGCTACGGAATTTGATATTTCAGTGTGCTAAAATTCAGAAGTTAGTGTAATACTCTGAACGTCGAAGCAAAGTTTTTCCTGATTTCGCTTTGTTTTCTGGGTTTTACCTGCTGCTAATGAAGTCACTGTATTTATTCAGCTAAGCCGGCTAGTACTAACGTAAGACCTTACGTTTTTAAACGACAATCGGTTATGTTTTATCTTGTTCTCTAGATATCCAAAGCCGAAGTTCTTTTTTATTTAGCTAAAATAATTGTTGCTGCCGCCTGTGACTCTAACTGTTAGCATGTCCGTTCCTAACTGTCCTTTAGGATGTTATCGGCAAAATGAATGGAAACAATCTTCGTTTTTTAATTTTCTTCAGTATTGTGGACAACACTATCCCACCAACGAGTCAAACTAATACAGAGTGCCCAGCAGTAGGGTATATCGGTACTGATTTCGAAAGGACCCAGACTTACGACAACTATAGATGAAGTCACAGATGCTACCAATCTATTGCAGAGGGTTTGTTATGAAAAATATGCCATATAGCAGTAATAGAGGAATTGTACTCATTACTCAGTGCGTTAAAGCAAGCTTAACATTGAAAAGCCAGAAATCTGCTACCAGTGTCTAGTGTATGTTTGCGGTTTTGGCCATAAAAGGAAGCCGAAGGGTCATGATCATGGAGTAAAAAGCTAATTAACTGTTATTAAGCTCACTTTTTTATAGATCGTATTTCACCACTCGCAAATATGCGTTTTCTTACGGTATGATTTCAACTGGTACCTATTATGTTCACCCTCACGATGAAAAGTACCTGCAAATTTTCACCTCCATATTCGAATTATTTTTGGACAACTGTCTTACAGTCTGAGTGCTTCGTAGGCCCCGAGAAACTCTATTTCTACAGCATTCGTAGTTCCAGTATAACTTTCTCACGCAGTAAGTTCAGATTAGACACTAGTCTTTCTAAATAAGGCTGTTAATCTAATATCCATATTCTCTATTTCAGTTAATCGATGAAGACATGTACCACGTGCATCTGTATACTGCCATTTTACTCCAATTCTAACTGTTATATTTTACTTTTGAATAATAAAATTGCTACATGCTGCAAATACAGACTTATTTGTTTTGATGGAGGTAGGGGGGCTCATGGGATTTTCACTAAAGAGCTAAGCGAGTGCGTAAACCTGTATAAGGTACCATACGGGGTGCATTTGAGTTACTAGTGTTCCATAAGTGCGGGTAGGGGCATTGCTTGCTTGTCATATGGCATTTGAATTAGAAGCTATAAGATAAGACGCAGGTACGGTTAGAATGTGTAACGCGTGTCCATCCATCAGCTGGTGCGACAACCCATGGTGGTTAGAATAAGCTATGAGAGGACCCGAGTCTGTAGGTCTCCCAAGGAAATGACGAGGATATGCACCAAATCACTTAACCTCTACTCATTACAGTATAGACGTCTTTGAGGTGACCTAATGGCTTACTTACTTACTTACTTACGCCTGTTACTCCCAATGGAGCATAGGCCGCTGACCAGCATTCTCCAACCCACTCTGTCCTGGGCCTTCTTTTCTAGCTCCATCCAATTCTTGTTCATTTTTCTCATGTCTATCTCCAGTTCTCGGCGTAATGTGTTCTTTGGTCTTCCTCTTTTCCGTTGACCTTCAGGATTCCATGTGAGGGCTTGTCTTGTGACGCAGTTCGGTGCTTTCCTCAATGTGTGTCCTATCCACTTCCAGCGCTTCTTCCTGATTTCTTCCTCCACTGGGATCTGGTTTGTTCTCTCCCACAGTACGTTGTTGCTAATAGTGTCCGGCCAATGGATCTGAAGTATTTTGCGTAGACAATTGTTAATAAACACCTGTATTTTCTGGATGATGGCTTTTGTAGTTCTCCAGGTTTCTGCCCCATACAGTAGAACTGTCTTGACATTTGTATTGAAAATCCTGACCTTGGTGTTGGTTGACAGTTGCTTTGAGCTCCAGATGTTCTTCAGTTGTAAATATGCTGCTCTTGCTTTGCCGATCCGCGCCTTCACATCTGCATCAGATCCACCCTGTTCATCAATGATGCTGCCCAAATATGTAAAGGTTTTTACATCTTCCAAATCTTCTCTGTCAATTGTGATTGGATTGGTGCATGCTGTGTTGTATCGGAGAATCCTGCTTTTCCCTTTGTGTATGTTGAGACCTATTGCTGCTGAGGCTGCTGCCACGCTGTTTGTCTTCTCCTGCATCTGTTGTTGCGTGTGGGATAGAAGGGCCAGATCGTCTGCGAAGTCTAGATCATCCAACTGCATCTTAGATGTCCATTGTATCCCGCGCTTTCCTTCAGACGTTGACGTCTTCATGATCCAGTCGATCACCAGGAGAAAGAGAAACGGTGAGAGTAAGCAACCTTGCCTAACACCGGTCTTCACTTCGAACGACTTTGTCAACTGTCCTCCATGCACAATTTTGCAGTGTAATCCATCATATGAGTTTTGTATGATATTGACTATCTTCTGAGGCACGCCTTAGTGTCGAAGAAGTTTCCATAGTGTTGTTCTGTCCACGCTGTCAAATGCCTTTTCGTAGTCAATGAAGTTGATGTAGAGTGATGAATTCCATTCAATTGATTGTTCCACAATGATCCGTAGAGTTGCGATTTGGTCTGTACACGATCTATCCTTACGGAATCCTGCCTGTTGGTCTCGAAGTTGGGCGTCTACGCAGTCCTTCATCCTGTTTA